AAAATTTTAGCGATTATTTTAGTACTACAGGTATATAGGAACAGACATTTCCAACACAATTAAAGAAAGACACAACAAAATGGAAAACCCAAAGTTGTATTCACGGACTAAATTTTACGACACTTGAATTAACTGGTGATTGAATATATTATCGATATCGATATTGAATTTGCACTCTCATAATTTTAAAATCTTACCGGTAATTAATATCAATACAATACAACAATTATTTTTCTTAATGCAATTTAGGAGGGGGGGGGGTTGCGATCGCACCATTTGCACCACCACTGCATCCCCCAGGGATTCTATACTTCATACTTTGTTTAGCATATTTACTTAACGATACGATTTTCAGCCTTTAGTGGTGAAAGACCGAGACGTGAACGCTCCTTTCTTGGCCCCTTGGCTGAAAGGATGCAAATAGTGAAATGTGACTTCTAAATCAACCAGAATTAGCATACCACAGGGTAGTGTCTTGGGTTTACTTTTTGCTATGAAGTAGGCTTACTGTAATTATTAGTATTTATGTATACCAGTGTATCAGATCAGACAAAGAACAATGTGTGATTAACAACTGTTTGGTACATCACTTTATTACAAATGCCATGGTATGTGTTATTTCAACAAAATCATTTATATATATATTTATCCAGCAACAATTTACACCATCTTCTTGCAACAAACATTTTCAAAACTCACTGTGGAATGGGCATTTAATTTAGGCATTTCCTGAATTTTTCACGTGATTTAAGAGACAAATAGATATTTTTACATAAAATAATGAATTTCTGTTACATATACAATTTACAAAACTACATTGCATTTCACATTTTTTACAAATGTTTTTATTGCTTATCATATCAAAAGCTTTTAAGTCATTTGAAAAATATATTTCATGAGTCAATTTGCTGTGAGTAACTTACATATTAAGTTATAAAAAGCCTGTTCATCAGGATATACATACACCCATCACTTCGATGCATCATAACTACTATATATATATATACACACAGTATATATATATATGTGTGTGTGTATATATGTGGGGTATATATAAACACATACACATTCATATACATTTTATATATTATATATACATGTATATAAGGTATATAGCAAAAAACCTGATTGATAGCTTAAAAAAACATTATTGACCCGAAAAAGACAAGCAATATACTGTAGGCTTTAGCAAGAAAATATAGCAAAGGCAACAAACACATTTTGCCCTCTACATATGTGCACTTTTAAAAAAACATACAAATCTAAAATGTAGATACATTAAAATTATTGTGTGCCAAAATCACTTAGACTTAAAAATATATTCGAAAAATTCCATTTTTCGAATTCAATTACTCTTCCAATATATCACTTATTTATCAAAATTTTACTTTAAAGCTTTCTATATTCATATCTCTGGAGGTAGACTTCAGCCGAAAGAAAATACAAGGGTGTTGAGCCAAAATAAAAATACAGACAATAAGTTATTCTTAAATCTTATATAAAATATTTGAACCATTAGAGGGAATACTCAAAAGTATATTCAATTTATATTCAATGCTTAAAATTTAACTAAAGTGGTTTGGACATGTTTGCAGGCATCGAAGTACATTAAGCAATATCAATTTGCAGGGTTATGAAGATGGAAAAGAAAACACAGAACTACGAAAAACTGAATGGATACAAATGGGTGCCTCCCATCAAACAGGCTAAGCTGTCACCCCCTCCCCACCCTCGAAAAAGAAAGATCGAATAAAATATTTATTAGATCCAGATGATTTAAAAAAAAATATATTTAATTTAATGTGGATTTTAATTAAATTATTGTGTTGTGTCCAATAGCAAGAATAATTAATAATTATTATTGTATACATTACTCATTACAATTTCGAAATGTATTTTCCATTGTAGACCCATTATAAATAGAGGCATGCCATATTATTTTCTACAAACTGTGGCTCACACACATGGTAAAAATATCAACATCGAAGCAGCAAAATTTACATAAACAATCTCTTGAATCGAAAAACAGAACACACACTTGCACTGGATTGCACCAAAACTTCATTTGTTACTTTACAATGAATTCAAACTTATAAAGTGACAAACGACAAAATATATGCCATATGTCACTTTAATAGTCTGATGTTGTTAGTTCCCATTCTGTAAATTAATAACCATCTTCTGTTTTATGAGAATTAAATAAAAGATCACCATGAAATCAATACTATAAGTGTACTACAATGTATTTTTGAGTTAAAAAATTTACGGTTTATGTTAGAACATAGATGATCTGTAAATTAACAAATAAATGCCTCTCAAATAAGGGCACACCCAAGTAAGAATATATTTTTCTTTTAAGCCTCATTCTCAAGTAACGCTGCATTGCAAGTCATATTCTGTTTTGAATACATGCCTCAGTGCTTAATTGCCAGCATATATTGTTTTGTATCACTGATAGATAAAATATTATTAATTATATTTCAACAACCGATTTCTCACAAAATGAATAAAACTGGCATTGCATCTTTGTCAGATTGGCCTATGTACAGCAAACTGTACCAAATTAACACTCTAACAATAATTTCAATAAATGCCGCTCTCAAAAAGCACATGAAAAAATGCTGCATAGAAGCCTAAATGATAAGGCTACAAAAATGATATTTGGTCATTTACAGTGTTATATTATATTTGTGGTGGCGATTATGCATAAGCTGTTTATCAAGGTTTAACAATTTTCAATTAATTCTTATGAGGCCTAGAACCAGCATTTTTGAGCTCAAAAAAGCTAAAAAGGGAATCTTAATCTATGTCTACCACTACAACAGAACAAATATACATTTTTGATAAATAAAAAAAAAAGGCAAAGGGTAAAGGGTCATATTTCAGGGTTTCCCCTATGTAGGATGTATTTGTCTCTCACAAAAAGCTATCATGTAAAATTTTTAAAAATCACAGGAATTTTAATTTTCCTCTTCAACCTAAAAAAGCAAACAAATATCTTTATAATAACAACTGTCAAATAATTATCATGTTATTTATAGCAAGAAGCTGAGTAGTATAGATGAGAATCAATAATTGCAAGACCCACTGGTACTAGGGGAGATCAGATGCAACACTAGTCACCAAGTGCAAGCTCGGTGGTCCAGTAGATATGACGCCAGGCTAATTATCTGGAGGTCATGGGTTCGATTCCCACCCGAATCACTTGCAAAAACTGCTTGCAAGTATTTGGGAACGTACTGAGTATTCAGTATGATAACATGTTATAGAGAATATTATGCTATAGGTGTTAATGCACATGACATTATTACCGCGATCTTTGGATCAAACTACAATGGAGCAAATTCTTATCTCCCTGAGGAGTGTAGTAGTAATCATTATTTTGGCATTTAAACAATCAAGGTATGCACTCATATTCTGGGTGGAGACAGACAGAGGAAAGTGCAAGGACAGAAGAAATGCATAGAGAGAGTGATTGAAAAACTTGACCCTTTTGCTAAGAGCAACTGCTGCACTAAACACTGCAGTAAAAGATTCCCCAAGGAGTAATATCTTTTCTAGACCTATTAAACTACTAATGTGATACAAACTAGAAACTAACATCCTTGTCTAAAATATTAACAATAAAATTATAATTTTATGATTTCAAAGAGTGCCTTGTATTATCTCATTTACATACATATGCTAATACTTTCATGAATTTTCAAGATATTGAAATAAAATTGTTTATAATATTTTTTGAATGAAATTTTATTTCATAAATTTAGTCTTGTCACCAACCTTGGAATCAGATTCCTTGGACTATTAAAAATCACTCTTTTCTTATCGAAAAATATTCAAGTCGCCTAATATTTTAAAGAAATATTAAATCAATATACAAAAAAAAATTACTATAAGTATTGTATCAAGTTATTTATATTATTTAAATTATAGGAACATAGTGTTATTTAGTATGCAATTAGAGGGACATTCTGAGGGCACTATTGAAAATTACAAGCTGAAGCAGCCATTAATTCAGCAATAGGAAAATTACATGGAAGGCAAAATGAAGACGTCATGACTGTCTTTATAATAATTATCAACCTATACTTATATTCTTATCTAAATTAAATATTACAATAGGCAAGTTTAACAGGAATAAGAGAAAAACTATTTATGAGACGGTTCAATCAGCTGGATAATTTTGAGATCAAGTGATCTGCGTTGAGGGCCCAAACCAATAGTTTTGAACTTCATCTTGTACTTCTCATTCAAATTTTGCAATCTATACACCTATTTCAAACTTTAAAGCACAACTCAAAAATACTATATATCAAAATACTGATTTTTATCTGTAATTTTGTAGAATTCATTTCTTATATCAACTTGTCATATTTATACTGTGTTTTGATGATTTATGTATGAGCTTATATATATTCCTTACTTCTGGCAAGAATTTACATCTACATCGCTGAATAAATATCATTAACACAAGGAATCAACATTTGTTTGAGTACCCTCTTATCAAAAGAGGGTGGGCAGTGGTGTAGCTAGAAGTCTTGAATTGGGGGGAGGCTGATGGGGGCGTGAAGGTGAAGTGGGGGGAGCTCGATGATCAGTTGAAGGGCACTAATTCGCAAAATATGGTGATTTTAGGTGATTTTTAACTACTTGACCGTGATTTTTTGGGGGGAGACTGGGGTGGACGCGAGTAAATTTTGGGGGTGTGCGCCCCCCATACCCTTCCCTAAATACGCCACTGAGGGTGGGGGAGGGTGAAGTAACAAGATTACCTGTGTTATAACATTTGTAGTGAATACCTGTAATCACTCTCTAAACTTCTGGATGCAAATGAAAACAATAAAAAAGAATTACAAAATGTTATCCTTATGATTGTTAAGTTTAAAATTTAAAATCATTTCATTTGAAGCTATAATTTTTACATTTATTAGAGTTTTATGAAAATTATATGGGTTTTATGAAAATTTGAGAGCAAAATTCAGAAACATTCACATTTTCTATAATTGTTAAGAAGCATTATCCTTTTATTTTATATAATTTAATCATTATTTACATCCTATATAAATACATTTATACATTTATCAGACATGACATACCAAATTCTGATAACAGAAGGACAGAATCTTCAATAATTTAATGCTGCATTCCAATTACACAAGGAAATTAAGATACCACTAAGGAAATTCAGGGGTGACTAAAGAGGAAGTGTGAAAGGGGGAATGCAAAATAATGATAACAAGAAGGAATACAAAGAGTGGAGAAGGTGAAAAGGCAGTTCACCCTAAGCATCGACCCTTCTTTTATCGACATCTGTTGTATCAACTTGGAACTATTTCACCTCTGTTCACTATGGATCTCAAGAGTTATATCCATAACACCTTTGTGCTCTCAATCTTTTTCTATTTTTCAAAAATAAATATCCATATATCTTAAATATCTTAATATGTACAATGAGCTTACAGTTATGGAAAGCATAGTACTAGGTTTTTTTTATAATATATTCCATGTAATAAAGGACCAAAAATTGAATAAACGACAAAAATTAAAGGAGTACACACACTCACAAAAAAAAAAAAAAAAAAAAAAAATACAGAATATAAAGATGGCTGGATAGAACAAAACCAAGGAAAATTTACAGACCATTAAATCCAGGAAGCAAAGGAGAAATATATTTAAAAATTGTAATGTTGATTTAAAATCAGTTAAAAATTAGAACAATAAAAATACATCAAAACACAAAAATAAAAAATACTATAAAATAAAAAACATTCTCAGACCCAACTCAAGTGTATGCAAAATGGTACATTCTAAATAAATGCCAAATATGCAGGCAGGATTAAAATAAATTTGTAGGGAATTTTCTTAGTAGTAATAAATGGTGTAAATCTGAAAATAAAAGGCATTATATACATAATAATAATAATAATAATAGTGTAGTTTTATATAGCGCACATATCCATCTAATGTAAGATGCTCAGGGCTCTTGATATGTGGACTAGGAACTCGACTAATGACTTTCTTCGCCCCTAAGGGTCCCTTCGTGTCTGTGCTACCCGGTAATCCGGTACCAGCGACTCTCGTCGTCCACCACAGGGGCTGACTGTTCTAGTACACCGGGTTATCCCCCTACTCATCTCGAAGGATGTACTGAGCCTACGGTTTATAGTCCTTATCCGAGAAAACTTCTACAACCAGAACCATAGGCAAACGTGCCGTTCGAACCAGCGCCAATATTATGGCTATAGCTTGCGGTGCCCATGCTAACCGCTAGGCCATTCGACTCACCATTTTACATAAACAAATAACTACAAAGAAACCATCTTTACTGCAGGTTAAAGAGCTCGGCAACTAGAGGTGTAAAATCTTGCTTCAACAGTTTCATCTTCATTAAATCCTGTTGATGTATCAGTGATATTTCACGCATTGTCGCTAGTTTTACGATGAGATCCGGAAATAACGATGGTTGATCCGGATGAGAGGTCTTGGCAACAGCCTGCATCGCCATGATGATCGGTAACTGGAGCTCTTCCACTAGCTCGCGGTTCGTAACTTCATCACGGTCTATTGATAATTTAAAACAAGATTGTTGTCACTTATTTCATTTGTTATCGTTAATATTACAATATACTTGCAACACAATTTTAATAAATGAATAGATGAATGAATAAATAAATAGATGAATGAATAAATGAATAAATAAATGAATGAATGAATGAGTAGATGAGTGGGTGTATGGATAGATGAATGAATTGAACAATAAAAACAATGTTCGAATGAAGAATGTATAATGAATGAATGAATGAATGATGAATGAATGAAGAATGAATGAACATGTTTTAAAAAATAAATGAACACGATACCACTTTACCTGGGGCTAACAATGATGCAGCATTCATAAGACTATACTCAGCAGTGGTCAGACCAAGTGCTTTAATCTGCTTAAGAAATTTAAATGAAGATCCACTAAAAGTTGGTAATCCTAAATCAGACATCATTTTCAAGTCATACTCATCTCCAAGATCGTTGACAATTTTGTTTTCCTCCACGACAAAAAACTCTGACAACCGCAACAGGAGTGAATCAAGTATACCGGCTCGGACCAATGCTGCCTGGTCGTTGCTAGTTAGTCGCGTAAACCCTGGAATTCCTCTCGCAAAAAAGATTGTTTGTCGGACACTAATTGCGAATGAGTCCATTGCATATTTCCTAAGTTCTGGACAAATTTCTATTTGTGAGCTAGAAGATTGTTGATTTTCATCTGTGTTGGCACTGGTGGTATCATCAGAACTAGACCCGGACCCAGTTCCGGATTCAGGTCCGGATTCATATACTAGAGTATACCGATTAGTACTTTTCATCTTTGGAGCTTTTGTCTGAAAAAAAATTATTTTGTCAATAAATTTGTTTTGAATATACATAATAAATAAGATAGACTTTATAAAAATCGTGATAATCTAAATTTTGGGACTTCACCATATCATACATGATTTGGATTACTATCACTGTTGTTCAATACCAAGCATTTTATTCTACCTGCATATGAAATGGTACAACCCACAGTGTTTTCCTGATACCGGTTTAGCAATCAATTTTACCTTTGAAAATAAACAACCGACCAGTAAATAGGTAGCATACGCCGGCCTTCTTTCAATAAAACGATAAACTTAATTACACTAATAGGTCTAGGCTACAACTATAACTGCTGTTGCTTTTCAATTCATTTAATCCCCTCCCCCTTTCCCTGCAAAAGGGCTAAAGCTTTGAGCTATGACAATCAGCTGGCTTTATATAAACAAATTTACCAGTCAAAATTTTTCAATTGGAAGAACACTGTTAAAGATATTTTCCATAGGTGTGTGATTCAATGACCAGGTGTGAAAGTTAATTGCATAGATACAGAATAATGCAATATGCACTGTATAAAGTTCACTATTATTATCATTATATATGATTAGTCGTATTCTGTTTCCTCTGGTAATTCAACAGACATGACTCCCCAGTCCGAACTAAAAATATAAAAAAAAAAGATCAATAAAAGCCTGTTCACTCATAAGATAGAGTAAAAATAGGTGCAGTACTATAAGCTAGGATTTGCAAAAACAATTACAGTAATAGGTTCAATTCTGTACTAGCATTACTCTTCCCTTGGGCAAGGTATTTCATCTACTTGTACAAAAGTAATAATAACTACACAGTACGGGGATATATTGGTGAATTGGCGTTTATCTTTGATTAGGAATACTCCGTGGGTGTGAACTTCGCACGTTAGCGAATGCTTTTCAATGTAATGAGTCATGATTAGATCAGAACTGAATATTAGTTATTAAAGGTGATGATGAAAATACTGTAATGATAAATAGTGATTATTATAATAATGATGTAGATGATGATTTTTATTTTATTTACTCAAAATTCTACAGCAATAAAAGTTGCAAATTACAAAATTGAAACAATAAGCAATATTTAAAACAAAAACAGGGTTGTTACAACATGAGATTGTTAAAATGCACCATGATGATGATTTGATAAACTTGGTGATTATAATTATGACAGAAATTATGATGTTGATGATTATGATAACGATGGTGGGGATTATGATGATGATGTTGATGACATCCTGCCTTCGTGTATATTGTCAACAATGGAAATTCCGGAATTATAATTCTATGAGATGGATGTACTGCTTTATTGCAATATGTTAAGGCATTACTCCATCAAATCTCCAGCAGTGCAGCCTAGAATGGTAAGCATTAAACTAGAGTTTAGAAAGGCACTTTGGTTATTAATTATCTAATAATTTCTTAACTGCTTGATGGATTATTTACATAACAAAATCACCTCTTACCAAATATTCTCGACAGATGGTCTTTGATGCTTGATAGGCATTCTCCAGTGTATTCACTAGCTCAATTTGAGCTGCTGTTGGTTGCACAGGTATAGTTTTTGGTAATATTTCTTTAACTGGGGTCTCTAGGTGTTTCTCATCTTGTTTTTTCTTCTTGCCAACCTTTCTTACTAATGCTTTTCTTGTACCTAAACGACTTTTACCCCATACTTCTAAAAAATAAAAAACACAGATAAAAAAGAAAATACATCAGTAACCAAGTATGAAAAGAAAAGGGTATGTTTTGTATTCTATTGAAAATGATGAAAAAAATTGATGAAATGGTGTGAATAGGGCATTCATGTTTAATGATAGGCCTATCCTATCCTGTTGCTATCACCTATTGATGTTATCATCTAGTATTGTGATCTCCTAGTATAATGACCATCTAATTAACTAGCATTGTGATTACCTAGTGTTATGATCATCTAGTGGCATGATTACCTCTCCTGTTGTGATCACCTAGTATTGTGATACCCTACTGTTGTTGTGATTAACTAACACTGTGATCAACTAGTGTTGTGATCATCTAGTGATATGATCATCTCCAGTTGTGATCACCTAGTACTGTGATCACCTAGTATTGTGATTGGACCCTAGTATAATGATCATCTAACATAGTGTTGTGATTAACTAGCATTGTGATCAGCTAGAGTTATGATCAACTGTTGTGATCACCTAGTATTGTGATTCCCTAGTGTTGTGATCAACATATAATAAGATCACCTCCTCTTGTGATCAGCTGGTACTGTGATCACCTAGTATTGTGATCCACTAGTGGTGCGAATAACTACCACTGTGATCACCTAGTGTTGTCATCTAGAGCTGTGATCATCTCCTATTGTGATCACCTACAATACAGCAGTGATCATTTAGTGCTGTTATTGTCTCCTGTTGTGATGACCTAGTGTTATGATCATCTCATGTTGGGATCACCTAGTTCTGTAATCATCTAGTGTATTAATTAAAATCAGTGTCAGTATCATTAAAATATTATCAATATCATTATTAACATTATTATAAACTAATCTCAAAGCCCATACTTGCTTCAGACATTCCTAGATTCCGACACTTGGCTAGACGACAGGCAGGACAGTGGCGTCTTGTATACAGGTCCATTGAGCAGTTGCCCCCTTGTGTGCATTTAAAAACAGAGTTAGATTTGATGCTTCTGAGGAAGAAGCTCTTACAGCCCTCACATGACAGAACATTGTAATGGACTCCATTGGCAGTGTCACCGCAAACCAGGCACAGACGACACTTTAAATTCCGCTCATCTTTAGAGTTCATCGCACGATCAACAAAACCTAAAAAAAAGAATATTAATTGTACTAGGTATTAATTAGGTCAAAAAATCTACTTATCCTAGGATAGCAATTCAAAGACCTAATTATAGCTTTTTAATGTACAGTAATGTATGTTTTGTATATGCTTTATACAAGTTTCAAAGCAAGGTGTGGACTACTGTAGCTCATACAGTAACCTCCTTCTTCCTTAATGACATTTAGCTTAAAGGTCACTTTGTGTCTGAGCTGGTAAACTGGTGCCAGTTACTCTCGTATCATATCACAATAGGGGATATATGGACCAGTACACTAGGGTAGCACTCAACTTGTCCTGAAAGATATACTGGATTTTCTTTATAGCACACATTAGCCAATTGTGTACAGTACAGCGGTCCTATGTATTTAATCCACCACCAGAACCATAGGCAGGCATGATACATGAAGCAGCATCGATATGGATCGATAGCACCTCTAGCCCATTCGACTTGCAGTAGTAAGATGTGATTTACAGTATGTGAATATATTATTAATTCAGATTTTGATGTTCTAAACATGTGACTCACAAATTGTATGATTTCATCTGGAATAATGACAATGGTATGGTTAAAAGGAATCCAAAGATCAGTGAAAACAAAAATGGAGACTTGTTTTCACCACTAAACAATAGGCAAGGGTGCTACTCAGACCAGCACTGCCGTTATGGATAGATTGCGAAGCCCCTTATCTTAGCTGGTATGGTTAAAACATAGAGAAATGGTTAAAAGAAATGCAATAATTAATGAAAAGAACAATGGGAGTTTGAAAATGATTGCCAATGACATGAAAGGTCCAGTAAATGGTAAGGATTCAGAAATGATGATGCTTGTTAATGCCGAAGTACGTGAATAACCAGAAATACTCCCCAAGGGAGGATGCAAATTGTGATTGATGATTGATTCTGTATCAAATGACCAGGGAAAAAATGCATTTTGCAATAAATATTGTGCACTATATAAATCCTATGAAATACAATAGAAATAAAGCATTAATTAAAACATGGGCTACATAAATGTTCTGTTTCTATATATTCCACCTTAAAGAATGGCCTTAATTCTTATTTTGATTTGATGAAACCGAAAGATAAATATTTGCTAACAAGGCCTGTGAAATCACCTGTATATTCAAATTAATATAGAAATTTTTTTTAAATTAAAGTTTTCTTTTTGAAGCAGGTACTTTAATCCATGATCTAAATGAGAATTGTAAGTTGTATCCTTTACAAGCTGGTATGTAGGAATTTTTTTTTACAATGGAGAGGCATTAGAAGATACATTAAAGGATCTAATTGGCTGACTGAAACATATTGACTGCTTATGAATTTTTGTAATGGTGGAGAAATTAAAAAAAAACTAACAAGAATAATATACCAAATTATTATAATTGATAGGATGTGAAAATATAACACAATATAATACAATGAGGAATTTGATACCAAAAATAATTAATTATGGTATGATAACCTTTATCAATACCCAAATACTGTAGTTATAAAGTTAAAACAAGTATAACATTTTTTTTTTTTTTTTTGGCTAAATAAAAACCAATATAGAGTTTACAGACTTTAGATAATGGTTGTTGGCTTCGGCAGCAAAAAACTATTAATTTGGCCTTTAAAAGCAATTTTGAGAATGCATACTAAAGAGGCAGAATTCGGTAATACTATGCCATCTTAGCTTCCCAGCACAGTACAGTACTTAATTTCAATGGAAATTACATCGCTAACTTGCTCATCTTACAATAAATAAATACTAATTAGAAAGTCTATCAGGGATATATACAGTATATTATAATTTTTTATCCATGTAGGGTGGAACGAGTACCTAAGTAATTTAATAATAGGAATAGGTTCATGATAGTACAAAGACCTTATACTTGAAAAAATTGAGGTTTTAGCATCAATTTTTCCAAGTAAAGAGTTACTTTATTGTAACAAGAAAAATAAGGGTGGTAATGTCTGAATAAGCTTTAGCTTGAGGCTATGATTTGCAGCAACCGTGACCTAGATTAAGATAAATAGAAATACTGATAACAGTTCTTGTTACCAATAAAGCAAAATGGCAGTGTACATGGACAATGCTGGTTCAGAGACATTGTGTATTCAGTGGCTGTGCCAGCGAGGGTTCGGAGGAGGGGGGAAATTGCTTCCTGTTGAATAAGCATGACCCTACAGTACTATTGTTTGAAACTTAAGGTCATCAAAGTAAAAACATTAATTTGCAAACCCAATCAAAGTTATTGCAATAACAATTTGGTCTGAAAGCAAAATTTTTACCATCCTTAACCATTTTCCTACTTGACCCAACAGTGTTTTACTCTGGAACCTGTAACAAAAATGACAATGTTATATTGTATTAATTACTGTATATTTCATTCACACTGGCAAATCAAAGACTAAAATTGTTAACCAATACAATGAAACTACTACAACAGTACCTGCAGGTTTGCCCCATGTTATTTTGACATTATTATATTTAATTTGAACATTGAATTTAATCATTGTACAAATATGCCTTGAAACCTAGTACTCTACAGTATACATTTAAAGCAGGTTCATATTATAATTCATAGTTTCCATTTTATACATATAAAAACACTAAAAAAAAAATCATTAAAAACACTAACAAAATTGAATTTACCTTCATACATTTAAAGAACTCTACTGTACGTTCACAATTTGTAATGTCATAAAATAGGTATTGGATCTATATTAATTATTATTGTAATTAAATATAGAAATGTTATTACCAAGAAAAACTAACATGGCAAAAATATTTATTTTACTTTAAGTCTATAGTTTTATTTTTCTGTAAATACAATTATTTTTTAATCCTAGGCACCAGCACATGTTCAAATAATCCACATAAAAATAAACATAAGACTATAATCTTATTGCATATTTGTACAGTATAATTGCACATACTATGGTGCCATATTAATTAAATGATCTACAGACTGCACTTACTAGTCGTAAGCAGATCTACAGAGCAGGGGTGGCGCCAAAGGGGGCTGGGGGGCTATAGCCCCCCATCGGGGAAGCATAGTCCCCCCCTGTCGGGGAAGACGATAAATTTTGTCGGGGAACAAATTAAAAAAAATATTTACATGTAATATTCGTTTAGCCACCATATCGTTTGTGTTAACTTTTCATCACAACAACAACCACAATAACAATAATAATAATAATAATTCAATGAGACTAATTAAAAATAATTTGCGTTCTGTTATGACAAATGCTTATTTAGATAGCCTCATGATGGTTGGAATACATCGTGATAGGTGAAGCAACCACGACCATGACAACGTGGTTGACAAATTTCATGCAAAATTTCCAAAATATAGAATTTCACTTTCAAGAATGAGGACTTGAAAATAAATTAGATGGTTACATTGCATACTCTTTTTTTCTTGCTTTATTCAAAATGTTTTGGTTTTGGAAGCTGATGTCAACATTAGAAAGCATAGCCTACATGAAGTCATATTATAGTAACTCGATGCCTATCAAATAAGTAATAAAAATTCGCCATAATTCATCAAATATCCCTGGCAAATATCCCCCCCCCCCCGTCGGGCAGGTCCTGGCGCCACCCCTGCTACAGAGTGTGCATTTGAGGAATGTTTTTTTGTATAATTATAATTTCATTTATCAAATAATTTTTGGGCCTAGTAGTATATTTTTTCAAACAACACTTTACATTATGGGCAAAACAACCTCGGGAGAAACAACCTTGGGCAAAAAAAATTAGGTGGGGTCTCTCTAGAACAAAAGGCAAGCATAGACCAAAAGGGTAAAGGAGCAAAATCAATGCCAAGAGCAAGCGCCGCTGGACATGGGCTGCAGTTTATAATTTTCCGAATCGTCTAGCTTGAAATTGGCCCGATCGTCTGTAGTAGCCATAGAGCTATTAAACAACTAGAGTGCTGACAAGATGGCGGAGCAATGCAGAGTTGTGTATGTGTACCATCCAAGATGGCTGCCGTAGGAAAGCGCCACCTTCAGGCTTAGTATACATATTATTACCATAAATAAGCCCTCTGACTGAATATTATTTCATTAATGATAATTAGTATTGATAATGACAAATTATTAAACTGTCGTAGCCAAGAAGAGGTTAAGTAGAACATCTTATTCAAATATTAAAAAGAACTAGATTTGAACTCGTCACTGAGGACGAGTTAGGTGATCCGCCGCACTTTGACCCTCATGAAGATCACGCGGTGCTGATTGAAAAGTGTCATAATATGCTAAAATATGCTGTAATTAGTTTTTTTTTAAAAGAATAATTTTGAGCATTTTAAAGGATTTCCGCATGTGTACACGTACGTCTTGACGCCCGTGAGTACGGTAATAGCACAAAGAGTGACTCCTGATATGAATAATGTGTCAGGAACAAAAAGTATGTAACAAAACGTGATTTCCAGCTTTAATATGTGCTGTGTGCGTGGAAATGAACGTACGGCGGGTAAATTATGGAATGTTTTGAAATGCTGAAAATGACCCGAAACGTTCTTTAAACTATCTGAATAGTAATATGGAGAATTTTCAAATTTTAACAGACACGCACGTCACCATGTGTGCGTGTACAATAATAGCACACGAAATTAAACATTGTCAAGTGTATTTAAAACCGCCTGTTGGTAATGCCACACAAACTTTCCCTTGACATACCCTATATATATTAGTCTGATAGCGTCGAAATACAGTCTGCCGCCCTCACTCTGTTCTATTGTTTTACATCTTTTAAGAATGAGAGATAAAAGGGCTCCAAAAATTCATTCTTTTTGACCATTTTGACGTGATCAAAAGGAAAAATAAAGCGACACGTCTTCAAGAGAATTGATTTAGCTATAACATACTCACAGGTGGGAGACAATCAATCAAGAATAAGCGAGATACGTTCAAACGAGTATAAACATAATGGCATAAATAAAAATTCAGTTTTTGAATTCAAATGCCAATATGATGACGTCACAATGTCCGATCAGCCATTATGAAGTAAAAAATCGTATCTACAACTCATGTGCTTTCAGATTATGCAATAAAAATTGGGGGTCACCTTTCATCCTAAGGAGCTATAACTGATTAAAAATATTCATGGTTTTATGCATATATAAATGTTGACGCACGCGTACGTGCACGCTAAAAAGCGCGAACGGAAAATTAACAATTATTTTTTAATCCTAGGCACCAGCACATGTTCAAATAATCCACATAAAAATAAACATAAGACTATAATCTTATTGCATATTTGTACAGTATAATTGCACATACTATGGTGCCATATTAATTAAATGATCTACAGACTGCACTTACTAGTGGTAAGCAGATCTACAGAGCAGGGGCGGCGCCCCGTCGGGGAAGCATAGTCCCCCCGTCGGAGAAGACGATAAATTTTGTCGGGGAACAAACAAATAAAAAAAAATATTTACATGTAATATTCGTTTAGCCACCATATCGTTTGTGTTAACTTTTCATCACAACAACAACCACAATAACAATAATAACAATAATAATAATAATAATAATAATTCAATGAGACTAAGTAAAAATAATTTGCGTTCTGTTATGACAAATGCTTATTTAGATAGCCTCATGATGGTTGGAATACATCGTGATAGGTGAAGCAACCGCAACCATGACAACGTGGTTGACAGATTTCATGCAAAATTTCCAAAATATAGAATTTAACTTTCAAGAATGAGGATTTGAAAATAAATTAGATGGTTACATTGCATACTCTTTGTTTCTTGCTTTATTCAAAATGTTTTGGTTTTGGAAGCTGATGTCAACATTAGAAAGCATAGCCTACATGAAGTCATATTATAGTAACTCGATGCCTATCAAATAAGTAATAAAAATTCGCAATAATTCATCAAATATCCGTGGCTTCCAGGGGGCCCCCTGGACCCCCATCAGGGGGCCCTAGGCGGCCCCCTGGCCCCCAGCCAAGTGAGACTCGATTCGCTCCACTAGGGCCCCCCCCCGTCGGGGCCTTTAGCCCCTCCGTCGGGCAGGTCCTGGCGCCACCCCTGCTACAGAGTGTGCATTTGAGGAATGTTTTTTTGTATAATTATAATTTCATTTATCAAATAATTTCTGATATCTAGGGCCTAGTAGTATATTTTTTCAAACAGCACTTTACATTATGGGCAAAACAACCTCAGGAGAAACAACCTTGAGCAAAAAAAATTAGGTGGGGTCTCTCTAGAACAAAAGGCAAGCATAGACCAAAAGGGTAAAGGAGCAAAAATCAATGCCAAGAGCAAGCGCCGCTGGACGTGGGCTGCAGTTTTTCGAATCGTCTAGCTTGAAATTGGCCCGATCGTCTGTAGGCAAGCCAAATTATGCCATGGGCTATTTTTCCCACTTTTAAGATTTAATTGCATTTTTTTTTTACACATTATTATTATTGTTGTTGTTGTTGTTATTATTATGATTATGATGAATATATACTGTTTCCCCCAATCCTTTTATATACTAAATGTGTATGTTGTTATATTGTTATTTATAGGCCTATATTATTTATATTATTATAATTTTTTCATGTTTTTTACTTCTATGACATAAATTGTTTTAGCCTCATTTTGTCTGTATTTTAAAGTCATATTTATTTATTGGGTTTATTGCCATTTTGTTATAGGGCCTAGGCCTATTGCCTTTTTGGCCTATTTTAACATTCTGATTAATTATACGTGTTGCCGTTTTGGTCATTGATTGATTGAGTCATTGACATTGTCGTTTCGACTTGCCATTTTGGTTTATTGTTGTTTTGACTAGAAAGCGGTTTAGGCCTAGCCGAACTAAAATCTGTACTTAAAAAAATATAATAGGCCTAGGCCTACCAGATGAAAAATTAATTCACCTCCAGGCCTATGCACCTAGCCTAGGCCCCTAGCTAGCTAGGCCCTAGAGTGCTGAAGGTTGCATTTGTCAGGGACAGGTCAATACTAACCACTCTAGGCCTATGTATGTGTACAGGCCTAGATATTTCAAGTGAATAAATGATATATTCTCACCTAAAAAAGTAAAGAGACCAACTTATAGGCCTAGGTCTGTTGTACATTCCAAATCAAGATGTAGAAATAAATTGCATAGCCACTTCCTAAGTATGATGAAATGTGACTGTTTTCATTTAGTAGATAAATTTCCCTAGAGGAAACAACCGCACTAATGCCGCCGACGATCGCCCATTTCACGCTCTATGGTTTTGGTTTTTTTTATAATAAGCAAATTAGAACCTGTGCTGCTGCTGCGCAGAAGGTCTTCAATAAAGTGGTACCGTAGCGCCCCGACAAAGTACCTACTCAAGCCCGTAGCCAGGATTTTGGTAGGGGGATTCTTTTTGATAATGAAAGGGCACTTGCGAGCACCATTGGCTGGGGCCAGGGGGGATGCCAGGGGCCCCCGGGGGTCCAGAACCAAACCCCGGTGGGGGTCCAGCATTCTAAGCATTTACATGTGTTATTTAATTGATTTGAGAGGCCATACATTAAAAAAATGTATATGTTTAAGAGGTAATTTTTTGAGTTGGGAAAAAAAAAAGATAACTACTACTTTAGTAGGCCTACTACAGTATTGGTAATTTAACAACAGTAGCATGGTACAAACTCCAAAGAATCCAGTATGGTTTATTCTCTATTTTTTATTTATATAGCACTTTGGAAGTTGTATCATACTATAGTCTAATCACTTAAGACAATCAATAACAAAAAGAACCGAGACAAATTTGTATGGTTGGTTGTAGCGTATTATAATCATATATATACACAGGTGAAACTATCTCCCGCCGGACACCATCCGGGTATTTCTGAGTCAATGTTTCAGGGCCTGAATATATTATGTTACTAGGTAGGCCTAACAATCGGGTATTAAAGTAGGACTTTTAATGATGATAGGCTCTAGGCTAGGCCTAAAGTGTAGGCTAGCCAGCCTTTGTTGAAAGGGCACTTCATGAAGGCCTAACAATCAGGTATTAAAATAGGACTTTCAATGATGATAGGCTCTAGGCTGGCCTAAAGTGTAGGCTAGCCAGCCTTTGTTGAAAGGGCACTTCATGAAAAGGGGGGGGGGGGTTCGTTCGAACCCAACGAACCAACCTGGCTACGGGCTTGCTACTAAATAATAAAACAAAAACAAATAAAACCACTTCCTGTAAACTAAAATTGTGTCATTATTAAAGTCCATTAGGCCTACTCAAATTATTCTAATTGATCTTGTAAATCCAATAGAAGCTCACTAGGCCTATTATAAAATAAGAATAGGCCCTTCTTATTTGATCATATTGTCGATTTGAGTGAAGGCAGCAATGTTGTTCTAATTATTAATTCGAGCTTTATAATAAATGTAGTATTATATTTGCATTGAAAATTATTCTTTATCAATGACCTACACTTCGAGATTTCTAAAAACTATACATTAGATAGCTGTTCACTTGGGTTGGTAAACCTTTTCTACCTATTATTTGCGGACGACCTTGTATTCATGTCAGAGTCCAAACACCAGTTACAAAAACTACTGAATGAACTAGAAAAATATTGCAACAAATTTGATGTTAAAGTAAACGAGAAGAAAACTAAAATAGTGGTATTTAGAAATGGTGGTATTTTAAAAAAATTACGAAAAGTGGTGGTACAACAATATCCAAATTTAAGTTGTTCCATATTTTAAATATTTAGGAATTACAACTGTCCTCCAGAGGAATATGGTCAAAAACCCAATCCGTTCTTGCCGAGCAAGCTACCAAAGCAACTTTTTCTATCATAATAGTTTAAGATCCTTGCCTGAATTAAATATTGACATTTGTTTAAAGGAATTTGATGTAAAACTAATGCCTATTCTTAATTATTGTTGTGAGGTGTGGGGCTATATTAAAGGAGCTGATTTGGAATATGTTCAAAATAAATTTTGTAAATTCACATTAAATCAGAAAAATAACTCCGTTAATTTGGCTGTAAGAGGCGAGTTAGGGAGATATAGTGTACGAGCCAATAGAATATATAAACTTGTTACGTATTCTAAAAATTGATAGAAATAGACTAAGTCATAACGCATATATTGAACAATTGCGATTTGTTGATAATGATAAAAACTTTTGGAGGGGGAGGGGAGGGGCTTGATCTGTCTGGTGGGGGAGCTTAAACCCCTGCTGCCCCTCCCCACCCGACTGGCGCCGCCACTGTCGCCCCTGAATTCATAAAATTTAAAAATCGGTACTTTTTTGTAGGCTCGAATATAAAAAAAGTGATATATTTTTAGGTCTATCGTATTTTTTCTTAACATCCTATTAATTCGATATGCTAGGATATTATGTTATTACCCTCGCCTCTCCGAAGAACAGTTGACGGGTATAGCGCGTGTTTGTGTGTGTCCTGCTTGACAGATTTACTTCAAATTTTCTACACATTGACAATGTTACATGTATCTCGGTCTTCCTCAAATTTTAGGCTGATTGGAAGTAAGATGCAGATTTTAGAATGTTTAAAATATTTTCGGGCCGCATATCTCACAATTTGCTGTCCCAATTTTATTTCAAATTAGGTCTACAAATGACATGTGTTTAATAATAATGGGAAAAATAGTACGGTATTCTCTTAAGTGCATAAATAATAAAAAGTTAACAATTAAAAGTAATTAAAAGTAGAAAATAGAAACAAATCTAGAGATGATTCGAACCCCACACAGCAGGGGTGGCGCCAGGATTTTCCCGACGGCGAGTTCGAGGTCCCCGACAAGGGGGCCAATTTTTTTCCACAAGATAAAAGTGGGCGTGGTCGGGCGTCCGCCCAAAATCTTTCGAAAGCGGTCGACAATTCAAGGGGTTTCAAAGGCTTATTTATTCGATTACAGTAGAGAATCACAACAGATGTGTATAAGAGACAGGTTGTAGCGTATTTCTCCAGCACTAGGTGGTAAGTTGTCTGTTGATTCGCTCATTTCAAATTTACTTTCATCCAATTTTTTCTTACTTTCATCTACTTTCTTTTTACTTGCTGAGAGTATTTTTGAGTACTTGAATTCACTGTTAATTTGTTGTTCTATTTTCGGCACACCTAGATGTGTATAAGAGACAGATACTATATTTAGCCAAACATAGTCAAGGATATGCTATAGAGAAATTCTATGAATAGGAAGGTATTATTGTGTAGAAAGAGAATGCTATAGTAGACAGAGAAATCTCCATTTCCAGCCTCATTTTTACTACATACACTAGGTAATTTATGTAAGTTGCAAAGTGGAGCTGTAGCTTTGTGCTTGCTTTCCAATCCCTGGGTACTGGGTTCAATTCCTGTCATGGATTATTTTCTCATGACTAAACATTACTCCACTCTCTAAGCCTCATAACAACACTTGGTTTATGCAAAGCATCTTGTTTATCTTGTGAAAGGATTGCCACTTATTAAAGTGAATTATGTTTGCTATTGGCCTATCCTTGGCCTTGTGCCTAAAAATAAAATAAGTAGAAATTAAAAAAAAAAAAAAAAAAAAAAATTAAAAAGTAGAATTCCTATGTCAAGACAATATTAATGACTACCAAATGTCTTTATGAAGTTTGAAGCAGTATTTCTATCAGAAGATACTAAAAATAGAAAAATGCCATATATAGTCAATTAGAGGAAATATAGACACATAATACAGATGCTATTATATAAACACAGAGTTGTTTATGTATGGATAGTTAAATGCTAGACAAATAGATGCTAGAATAGATATAAGCACAGAGATATTATATATAGATACAGAGATGCAATAAATTTAATAGATATACAGTCCCTGTTGTAATGTGATGAGATTGCCACTTCGCAGAGTGATTTAGTTCACTGTTGGCATATCCTTGGCCCTGGTGCCTAAAGCTGAATAAGAAATATAACACAAAGATAATTCTATATGATATACAAAACATACCACTTTATAAGGGTGAACTGACTTTCCCTTTTTAAGCTTTAACTTCCAAAAAAAAGGAACATTGTAATTCAGAACACATATCCCTGGAAACAGTCAAGGGTCATTGCACTCACTAAACAAAACATTCTTGAATATGGCAGTCTCATGTATCCAGACCTCTAATAAAAAAATAAAAATCCTGAGTTCTTCATCTCAATAATTGGCCATGTCTATCCCCAAATTAAATATTACCCTGGCCTGCTTACAGTGAAACATAATTATAAGATTGGCACTAGAATTATCTACATTCAGTTATTTAAAAAACTATGTAAACATCTCATTTGCACTATTTTAAATTGCAAGTTTCCATTTCAATAATGTATATTACTTGAACGAATTGTATTTAAAGCTTGAAAAAACCCAGTAAATTTCATTTGTTTTCTTCATTCACAAAAAGAGCTATACTTCAACCATCGTATGGTACAGATATTGAATATGATTAAATTAATAACTGACACAACAAAAATATTTTTGTGCAGTATGAAAATAACATAAAATCTAACCTTAAAAAAAAGTCATAGGGATCAATTACCGAACATATAGCATCCTCACCACATTTTAACATTGTTTGGCAACGTTCACCTTTTAAAAAATTCTATATTTTCACTTCGGTTATAAATTCATACGGCAAGCGATGTCAAAGGTTATTCATGGGATCTAACCTATCCATTTCTTCTGCCCAATCAATAACTCGATTAAAACCAGGTGGGGTCTTGAAAGTATCTGGTGATGTGATCGTAGCACTCTCTTCAGGGTCTGGTATATTTATATGTAAATCACCCTTAGGCTGCGTTTCTTTGTGATCACTTCCTGAAGATACTACAGCGGGACTATTAAAGCCATCTCCAGCACTAGGTGGTAAGTTGTCTGTTGATTCGCTCATTTCAAATTTACTTTCATCCAATTTTTTCTTACTTTCATCTACTTTCTTTTTACTTGCTGAGAGTATTTTTGAGTACTTGAATTCACTGTTAATTTGTTGTTCTATTTTCGGCACACCTCTACCGCGACCACGTCCCCGCCCCCAACTCTGAGGAGTAGGATCTTCTGTTTCATTTCCAGATACCATAGCACGACCTGTCAATTAAAATAGAAAAAAAAAAAAAAAACAAATGTTTATAATCTTTTCAACTAATGACAATACAATGTGTATGGTTGTAAGGTGATGTGCTTTTAATCTTAGAATTGTTGGTTCAAATTATTGGAGTGTTAGAATAGTTTGTACATCTGTCTATGACTTGCAACTTATAAGATTGATTTCCATGAAATTGCTACATGTTGCTACAGTGTTTTCACTGCAATCCTTTACACTGTTCTTATGCAGTTTGTGAAGGCTCCTTGATTCAACTGATTGATCAGCATCACCGAAAGCAGTTGGCGAGCATGTAGCAATTTTATGAAAATCAGGCTTTAGTATTATAAATTAAGTGAGAAAGTGATTATTATTAAATAATGCGATGTACCAATGATACAAAATATCAAAGAACCATTGGTTTAGTTAATATCCACTCTCAAGCACTGTGACATTTAAAGAAAATGGAACATTTCTAATAGGCAGTTTTGCCCTGATTTGGTGTGGCGCAAATTCCAGGGCTGTGTTCATTTGAGACAGACAATTATTCTATCATATACAATAAATGGGTAGAGGGCAGAGTATCATGGTTAATGTTAAAATTATGTAATGTGTTTGCCAAACTGGGAATAATAACCATGGAATTGACATGGTAATATAAGACTAGGAATGTTCTGAAGGTAAACACAAGATGCAAAAAAAAAAAAAAAAAAATCCACAAGAAAAGCAGGAGGTTGAGTACATTGTTCCATGAAAAAGGGGATTTAAAGTGTCTGATAAATAATAATAATAATAATTGTCAATTTATATAGCGCATAATGTAAAATACCTCTATGCGCTTTAGAGCATGGTGTGGAAAAAATTATTAAAAGTTTCACCTAACAAAAATAATGAGTAAAAATAATGAATAACAACAATATAAATAAATATATAATGTTAATAAATAAATAATTTGAAAATACAGAATTTTATTTACTTTAAAAAAAAAAAAATTGTTAAATATTTATTCACACATAAAACAAAAAAAAATCCACAGGAAAGGGAGGAGGCTCAGATTTAAGGTGTCTGACATACAGTACTTGATTTGTCAATGTATAATGGAAGCTAGTGTCTGTGAAGAAACATTTAATTTCATAAACGGTGAAACAAAATGCACTTTTTATCAGGGAGTGATAAATTACATTCCAAAAAGGTTATCTAGGAGCCCAAGTAGAATCGTATTTCACATGTCAGAGTTGGATTGGATAGGATTTATTCGGCGTAAACACCAAGGATAGGCAACGAAAGTCTAAGAAGAAAACTTCTTTCCAGTGGGGTCCTTCTGGTGGAGATTGGACAGTACACCGGGAGACAATCCCCTACTCTTTTCCAAAGATTGTACTGCATTCTTTAACATGCACATGGGCCATAAATGCACACGGGACCAACGGCTTGGACGTCTCATCCGAAAGACGGTGCGCTATTGTAACTTGTATTTCAGCCCTCTAGCTGAAACACAAGGAGATGCAGTGATAGGAATTGAACCGGGGACCTAGAGGTCTCTACGGTTCAGCGCACACACAATGGCTACCAACAGATTAGCCGACTGAGTTAACTGCTCTCAACTAAGTTAAGCTGCTCAGTTTAAAGATCAGATACACATTAAGATAATAAGATATTGATGTTCTTGACCCAAAATTGTACCTTTTGCTGCTTGTGGTGGTGGTTTAGCTTGCCGTTCATTTTGACTGTTATCTCGTTTTCCAGGTTTTTCCTTGTCCCATTCCCTCTTCCATTCCCCCGCTGCATTCTTGTGACGAGCTAAGCGCTGTTCATCAATTATCTCCCTCTCCTTTTTCCAGTTTTCATACCTTTTTCTTTCTTTTCCTGTCATACTAATGTCAATATTTCTTGATGCCTTCAAAAGAAACAAAATTAATATACTAAAGCTTTCGGTGCCAATGCCAATCTAACCAGCAATGTAAACTTTAGAAATGTGTGCGTTTGTACCTTATTCCCCAAATTCCAGACTATCAAATTTTATTTGACAAAAAAACATGTGACATGCCTAAATATGGTCATGATGACATCACATCATGACCATATATAGGCATCATGACTATATATGGGCATAAAAAAGTATTTTGTCAAAGAAAATTTGGATAAAAGCTTTCACATAAGATATTCCTACTAAGATTGTCAACTTCATATGAGATATGAGAATATAACCCTAAAAGCAACTTCTATGCAGGCAGCAAAGGTGCAGAAGACACACCTCCACAACCCATTAGATAAGCGACAGGATTCAAAAACTACCAATTTCATATATAAACATTAAACTCTTATCATCCACCAACATGTACCATACTTTTTCGAGTAAACAAACTACAGTAGGTGAAGTATCTTGGACTTGTTGAACCCTTCTTGAATATTATATGACTGATATCATGCATGATTGAGGGATGACATTTATCACAGTAGAGATAAACTGAAATAGAACCCTAGCTAAACAACACAGCAGTCAGTCATCAATAGATAAAATTAAGAATTGAGGTGGTAACAGTGGCGGATCCAGAAATTTCGAATAGATGGGGCCCTGGGAGGGACTTTCCGAGATGGAGGGTCTAGATAAAAGAAAAGTAAGAAAATTTATGATTATGTCCGGAAATGGCACCCTAAGAATTAAAAGTTTTTTCTCCATTTTTGTTTTTATTTTGAAAACTTTAGGGACCTCTTGAATCCGCCACTGGGTACTTTAGGGTAAATTACATGGTGCTTTGAATGCTCTTTGCTCTGTCTAGCCACTAGCGATGTAGCATCTTCGAAATCGGCACCACCATAGCTATGCTGACTTCGCCTGCTTCCATGCTGCTTCGATGACCTGTCAGGTTGGCTTGGGTCTCTCCTTGGATCATCCAGGAAACTATGACCCCCAAATGTAGGCGATACAGTAGCGTCTTGCTGTTTCTGTAGAGGTTGTAAAATATTTAATTAATTCAATTAATGGCTTAAAACAACATTTAAAATCAGAATGAAATATAAAAATAATACAACCTGTAATCAAGCTGAATAAGGTATGAATTTTTTAAAAATGTAATGTTGATTGAGGCTTCAGGACATTATGTACCAAACAAAATTTTATTACCTCCTCCAAAGGCGGTTATGTATTCACTGTTGTCTGTGTCAGCAAGATTACTCAGAGATGATTAAATTTGAGATGACAAAAAGATCAAAGGACAATGTAAAATTCACATAAATTTGATTTTTTACTCCAGAGCATAAAAGAAAATAATGGAATCGCACATAACAGGTCTGCGTATTGTTTGGTATTCAGGTACAGGGCAGAAGTATTCACTCTATGGATTGACTGTTCATTAATACAATTGTGATGTCATAATTTTACATTCCACATACCTTTCCTACTCAGGACTGAATTTAAATTTCTACTAGTCTGCAGTATGTTTTATACAACATATTTTTTTACATCACTTGAGCTATTTACCGCTTCTATATTACACAAGTGCTACTTACCTGGTTTTCATATTGCTCTCTCATTGCTTGAATCTCAGCTTCAACACGATCAATATTCTGTTTCCTCTTTTCAGACCACTCTTCCTAAAGACGCGAGAGAATGAAACTGTGAAATAATTCATTTGCCTACCTATCCAATAAACTAGAAATAAGTAAATATAGTATTAGTAAAATCCTACAGCAGCAAGAAAATGGAGCATGCCACAAAATAAAGTGGTTGAAACAAGGGTACAACCCAAGTAACCAAACTGACTGCATACATAGTTTCAATTACCATGTGTCTGGTTTTAGGCTGGCATAATATAAAATATTAGTGTAAATTTATGTTTCTGATATGTTTTACGCATGTTCTTGCATTTTCTAAATATTTTAAATTACTGAAATATAACATAATAATATGTGTCCAAATTAACACATTTTTTAAGAGCCAAATAATAAACGAACATGCTTTTTTTAAAAATAAAAATTAAATTTTAATCACTAGTATTTAGAATTTTTTCAGATTTCACGCCACTGTCAGGTGCTTTTTAAAAATTTATTTGGATTAGTCTCAAATAATAATAAGTGCTTATCATAAAATGGTTAAATTGCAGCATATTAGTACTGTATTTATTTAAGTAAACGCACCAATTTGAATAAACACCTCCTGGGAATAAATCCCCCTCGGGGAGTTTATTTCTTCCTTGAATAAACGCCACCATTCTTAACACATTCTATTATTGTTGTACTCCAGTAGAATTACATTTTTTTTAACCTGGTCGAGATCAGTAGGTCTTTATGGTCGCACAATAACACATTTTGACGGTAATTATGTGTTGTAGTTTCACATTTACAGTGAAATTAAGAAGAATTTGTTTGAGTATGTATATGTATCCATTTATACCCCTTGCATAAACGCTCCCTCAAAAACACTTCTCAAGGTGTTTATTCAAATAAATACGGTATGTTATATATATTATAAGAAAAAATGTATTGTTATATAGTTTACAGGAATTGCAGCTTTACCTGTGTTCATAAAACAAAAATTAGTTCTAGTTCTACTTGAAAAATGACGTCATTTCGTATCGTTAAAACTGCAGTTCTAATGTCAACTACTAACCTATTTAGTATACTATAATAGGCTATTAATGAAAGTCACCTCATTTGAATCAAGAGGAAATATGCAGTAGCTGACATCTAAAATTTCATTTGCTTTCAAAATTATCTCATACAGTATCAGTTGTCAGATAGTCAGCAACAGATTTAATTGTATTTTGATGACAATTCTTTATGAATGTGAATTGTAAATTGAAGTTGTAACCAGAACAAATTTAAGCCTAGTTCAAAGCTGGAACATATGCCTGTTTTGAGAATATGAGTGGTAAATTGACCACCACACCCAGGGGCGAATTTGGGGGGGGGGGGGCGGCCTGCCCCCCCCCCCCACCTTTTTTGGAAGGTAAAAAAAGAGAAAAAAAAGAAAAAAAGAGAGAAAAAGAAAAAAATGATAGCCCAGAATGCCTCAAATGTTATATTCGGACATCTAGAACACAAAAATTTCGCGGGAGAATGCCCCGGACCCCCTACGACAGTGTTGTCTCAATCGGCCCAACTTTCGGCCCCCCCTTTTGGACATTTCTGGATCCGCCCCTGATGCATCACTATTATATAAACCATTTTGACAGTTTATATTTTTTTTTCTTTTTTGAAGTTTGGAGGCAAAATTGTTAAATTAGGTAACCAAAGAATTTTTATATTGGTAAATTTAATACAGAGACATCACGTTAATAACCAGAAGAAAAAATGTCATGTATGAGGCATGGGATCACAAAAATAGCATCAGTGACAAAAAAAGAAAAATTGACTTAATATATTCTCCACATTATAAGCTTTAAAATGGTGACTGGACTGGAATTGACATACTATTGCCAAAGTTATGAGTAAAGTATTACAGGTTCTCTGTACTAAGGTATACAATACTGCCATATTCTTATGCTAATTACTAGTTTAACATTTAGCGACAGTAAGCTGGTTTTGGGATGGCATGTAACATTAAAAAAGTCGTAAAGTTATTCAAGTCACTTACAAAGTGACTTGATCAAGTCACTGTTAAAGTGATTGGATGTCAAAATATGGTACTGTTTATCAAAGTGTTTGTACTTGTTATTTGCTCAATTCTCATCTATAAACATTGAGATGTAAAACAGACTAAAGAAGATATACTCATTCCTCTATATTCATTTGTACATACATAACATACCGTACGTACATACATTCCATCCACATATACTGTAAATACATAGCATACACATACATACATTTATACATACATACCCACATACATACAGACTCACATACCTACATACATAAACATACCTAATTATATATTTTTTAAGATTAAACATTCTCAAAGATCACTTATAATAGTGTTAATAACATACCTTTTCAGAATAACTTAAAGATTTTAGGTTTATCAAATATTTTTTGAAAAATGTTAAGTAGATATAGAAAAATATTAATAAATATGCCATAATAAAATTGAATATACAACCTGAAAGTAAAGGAAATTGTTAGTTATTACCACACAGGGAAATAGCTATTTCCTCTATAGAATTTTAATGGAATAATCAATGACTAATATGATACATAAACACACATCTCATGCGTTAAACCAGTCAGGCCAGTGTTGTAATGCTGTTAGTATATGATCAAGGTGGAAACTGAAAGTAATTAATTATTATTATGTAAATAAAGCATAATATATATTTCTATGACTGTCAATTATTATGTTCATATCAATAACAGTGCATTCTTTTACAGGCAATCTAAAATTTGTTACTGTTTAGCAGCAAATAAATGAGGGCAGCATACTATTAATGCATTCCGACAACTGATGATTGTAATAATTGCTTTATATTCTAAAGGATGTAATCAAGAAAACATATCATATTGTTGGACAACTCATACAAAGTATTAGAAAATATTTCTCAATATTTCCAGACTACTTTACAGTAATCTAAGTAAGTATTCGGTGTGAATCACTCAAAGGATAAACTGGGAAGTCTGAAGATTTGTAATAGGATCCTTCTGGTGGTGATTGAGCAGCACACTATCCCCTACTCTTCCGAAGAGTGTACTGTGTTCTTGAACTAAACATGCGCCATATTGCACACAATTGCTTAAATGTCTCATCTGAAAGACGGTGCGCTATTGTAACTTGTATTTCAGCCTTCCAGCTGAAACACAAGGAGAGGCAGTGATGGGAATTGAACCGGGGACCTAGAGATCTCCGGTTCAACGCACACACAGTGGCTACCACCAGATTAGCCGACTGAGCTATGCTGCTCCCTCTACGTTAATCAGAGTACAAAATTGATGTACAACACAGAACAAACTTAGTGTACGTTTGATAGTCAGCAAGATGTGCGCATCAATGCATAAGTTTGAGGCAACCTTAAAGGTATGATTGGCAAAAACAAAGTAGTACGAGTTGACCAAATTTTGGTACGAGTTGTCCCAAATGGATATGGGCTTGACTACATTATACTGAATTCAAAATGCAGCATGCAAATAAATAAGCCATTCAAACAATGCACTGCTATTGGCGTGGGTGGAAAAAAGAAGATGCAGTTAATCAAGTAGCTATATGTTTGATTAATGACAAGACTAACAAACAGACATGTATACGTTTTTGTAGTAGCCGAGAACACTGTCGTAACTCCAACCGTTTACCCTAGAGCTAGCTTGAGCTGGGTTATCAGGGACTCGTTTGTCAGCCGACCTACGCTGCTGTTGGCCCTTTAAGTCCACCTCTACATTCAATGTCTGAAATAGTAGCCAAACAGGGTATTTAGGAATTAACCGAAGAGAGAAAGCTGATCAAGAAAGAAAATTTCCTGAACAAATCTTACAGATTAAGAAAAAAAAAATTATTTACTTATTTAATCATTTATTTATTATAATTAATTATTTAGATGTTCATCCCTGAGTACAATCTGTTTCATTTGTTTAAATAAAATCAATAAATATTTAGTGCTATTTATTAACTTTCTACTAAAACTAACTAAACGGAATCAATGAAAAGAATACAGAAACACAGAACCCTATTAAGGGATGAACACCTTTGAAATAAAAAAAAGTGTCGCTTTAAATGAGTTGTCACAAAGAAGAGGTTCTACTGTAGTATTATTTCTGTATTTTTTATTTTAATTTTTTTCAATTCAAAATGATTAAACACCTTAAATTTACAAAGAAAACTAATCAAATAATGTATTGAATTGTATTTTTTTTATGTTGACAGCTCATCACAAACAAGTTTACCATGATTGGAAAATATGTACAATAAAAAGAATTATCATGAAATAAACTATACACAAAAGTATAAAAAAACAATTTCATAATATTTTCAATCAGTATTTATCTATGGGATCCTAGACTCATCTGTCCAGAAGTTCAATAGCCTGGTAACAAGTCTAAAAAAAATGAAAACCTTTAAAAATACATCAAGTTAACTAAGATTAGTAAAAGCTATAGGAGTTGGAATGCAGAATGGAACATTTAATTAGGAATATGTTACATGACTATAGCAAGGGATGTAGCAGATCAAAGGTAAAGCATATTAATAATGAAAATGGGTATTAAAAACATATCCAAAATCATTGGACCTTCCAGAATGTCAATCAAACTTTCTGACCAATCAAATCAGAACAGGGTCATAGATATGCATATATCACACTCCCAGATTTGAAGATGAGAATCCTAATAGCAAAGATACAACTATATGTACTTAGGAATTTAGTAGCTGTTTTTTGGGGAACATTCACAATCATAATTGAGATTAACAAGTTCAAATATTCCTACAGCAGGGGTCACAAGTGTCCTGCAAGTTGCAGAAGTCTCCCGGAAATCTGGAAGGCCTCCTGCAAGCAAGAAGAATATCTTGGACAATAACCCATCTCCACAAATTCATATTTGCATGTTTGTACTTTATTATCAATTGTCTCCCAGACAATAGTTACTGGTTATCACCATGCACAGCAAAATGAAATTAAATTAAATGTGCTAAGCTAAATCTCTTAGAAGTGACTTTTTCCAACTAAAGACCCCTGCTACTGTATGTTGAACATCTTAACATAAAAACTTGCACTAAAAGTTTATTTTAGGCCAGAATTTTAGGTTGCATAACTGACAATCTTTACATCACAGGTGGGCAAAGTGCTGCCTGGTGGCCACATGCGGCCTTACAGCAATTTTGTTGCAGCCTACGCCAACCCTAAGTATGCAGCCTGAATACCATTTCTGGCTTGCAACCCCTTGTTTTTATGGCCTAATGCTGATCATGCAAAATGTAATAATAAAACTGATCATAAAGCAGTATAAAAGAAGTGCAGGAAGGTTTTTTTTGGAAATGTCAATGTTTGATTGGTCAAAAACTCACTTTGGCCCGTCAACCCACTTTTATGCCAACCCCTGCTTTAAATCAGGTTATAGGGGATGGAGGGGTGCAAGTGGGGAGATATCCTGCAGTGCATGTAGTTACAAATAATTTGATTATTGTACTGAGGAACACAAATGCATTCAAAAAAGGGAATGGGGAAAATATGAGAAATATATTATGAACTATTTCTATTCAATTTGGATAGGTTTACAAATTCAAAACTTAATTTCACAAAAGCAATGCAGTATTATCAGAAACAGCAACTGGCTACATAAATACACTATTTCAAGGTAGCTACAGTTAATGTTCCCAGAATGCATCAGAAGAAAGTTGCATTGTGGGAATGAACTATCCTACCTTGTGTTCTTTTATTTCAGTCACCCTGGTTATGTGACCTTTTGAACTATTTTGACAGTTTTCCAAAGTAACTATGACATCCTAATTTTAAATTTAAAAAATAAAATAATAGTAATACATATTTAAATATTTATTTTTAAAAAACAGTAAAATTTCAAAAGAAAATCTATCACTTATTGAATATATGAGAAAATTTATAGAAGCATCTGTTAAAAGTGTTCTCTAAATTTGATACACACTGGTATGTTTTGAATAATTAATATTAATAAAACTAAACATTTATATCTTTTAATTTATCTTTTTCAAAGTCAAACTTCATATTAAATCTACTACATTTTTCACTATAGTCTAATAATTATACTCTTAATTTTCACAATTCATGCTGAGGTAAATATTAATATTCAGACTACAGGGTTATATCATGTGACTGCATTTAACGTACGTATGGACAGAGTTACATTCAGTTTATTAAATTATCTAAACCTAATGCAACTTCTTGAGATATGTTATGACCTAGGTTGCCGGATTGTAACGTACTTGCCAGCATGAATTAATCCCATTTGATATATTATCGGAGAAGGCAGTGCGTATATGTTATCATCTCTCTCCGTCCAGGATGTGTACCTGGTAGGATTTAATCTATTCCATTGGTCTATGCTGCTTATTCAAACACGACTGGGAAAACTCCCCAGCGGGTGGGGGAGGTAACAGTTGCATATTTTGTATGTGTAAATGATTTCAATGACATAGGTAAAAAACATTTCTTTTTTCTGAAGAAATGCCAAACACTTTTATGATAAAAGCAGATAGTATTATTAGTACACCAGCTAGGCTTCACAGGTGAAATGGTTTAATAGACATCACACCATCATAAATAATTGGGGATCCATTATTGATGTGCATTGGTTGAATGTTTTTCAATTAATAAAATGAAATTAAGTATTAGTTTACCATTTTCTATGATTATTTTCATATAATTGTTAGAAAATTCAAAATACCATCATAATCATATAAAATACTTGAATAAAAAAAATATCCCTAAAATATTTTAGGCAGTTTGATAAGAAAATATCTGCATATAGAGGGGAGTATAAAGATTTTTATTTTTCCGAAGTCACCAATTATATATATATATATATATTTTTTTTATTTTAGAAAGATATACTGTAATATATAAAGATTAGACTTGTTTGTGAGATATGTAATATTTGGCGTAGAAAGTTAGGCTTGCTCTAGTGACATTATGTGTTAGGTAAGCTGCAATTTTTCAGAATCCAGTTCAAAGCACCAATGAACTCTGTGCAATATTATGATATATATGTTACAAACTATTATAAATAAATAATTATAAATATATACAGATACAGGGATATTTAAATATGTCCTCATTATCTAAAATGTTTTGTTAGGCTATGCAACACAGTATTATGGTATTCATGGACATAGATACACATAACCACAAGCACTAATACCTTTCCACAAACATCTTCTGACACTCGTCGTCTTGAAAACCCACCATCTTTTGTATACAAGTCATTTTTCACAGTAAACTCCTGATATTACAAGATTACCGACATAATAAACAACAATTGAAGATAATATGTATAGCAAAATTATATATCATCAAAGAATTCTCATTTCCTGCAATGCCTAAATGAAAATATAATAATAAAATAAAAGTAATAATAATAAAAACTTAAAATCTAATATAATTTTTTGGACAGATTAAACTTAGTTAGGAACCCAGAACTTCTATAATTTCTCCTACAATCAGTCGCTAACTGGGCAAGTGATGCTTCTGGACACATAGTTCGCTGCGCCTGTAATCGTTGTTTGACCTTGACTTGCGATGTCGGAACAAAGCCATAGTCAGATCAAAGTTGATACACACTGTATTAAAAAAAACTAACATTATGACAAAACTTTACAAAATGGTTGCTGTGTAAGTGTTAAAATGATAAAATATTTGTAAAAATTGAAATGGAAATGTAAACACGGCAAAATAAAATCACGAAGTTTGATTCAAATAAAGTCAACTGCTTACCATTTCCTTATTGACATTTCGTCCATACACATTTCCAACTTGACTAGAATTCGGTGGGTTTCTTTGATTTCTGCCTGATATATGTTGTCCACCCTGTCAAAATAAACATGTTAATGTCAAAATAAATGAGTTAAATTACATTTGTGATATCAGTGGTGGTGTCATGGTCAGGGGTGGAAAATGTGACCTTTGGGCTTCTTTTCTGTTCTGCTATAAGTAGGTCAACGATCTCATCTCTTGTAAAGCCCTTTACATTTGTGTCATTCACACTTATCATCATGTCCCCTGGTTGAAGACGGCCATCCTAAGCAACTGCAAAGAAGCTGTACTGCTCAGCAAATTTAATTATTACCAATAAAATTGATGCGATTTTTATATTGTTTTTGCGTGCATTTCTTTAGGTCTGATTATGTTTTTCCAAGCACACATTATTCGTTGGGTAATGTTGGTCGGCAGTCTAGTTGTAAACAGAATAGGTCACGCCCCCAAAAACTCTGCCTGCCCGCCAATTGGTCCATTTTCGTGGGGTGTTTTGCACTAGACATGTGCTTCGGCTATGATGACGTCAGATCGCCCAAAGTTTCATAGTGTGACAGTAAACAAGCTCAGTGTTTAAATCAAGAATGTTTTGTTAAAAAAATTTCAAAAACAAAGCAAAAAACCTGTCATCCAACGACAAGGTTGTCAGACTAAGAATATCAGTTGCTGATCTAAATAAAGTTACTGTGAATGCAAATCTCTAATATTGTTGTCTAAAAGTACAATTTTGATTTTCGGCCATCCTACACCATAAAATCTTTCCCCATGAACCCCCACAGGTAATTTATTCAGGAATCATGACCAAGTCTCTAGACAGCGCCTCCATGCCAACTGTGAACCACTTACCCGCATAACCAGCAATGTGACCTTTGGGCTTCTTTTCTGTTCTGCTATAAGTAGGTCAACGATCTCATCTCTTGTAAAGCCCTTTACATTTGTGTCATTCACACTTATCATCATGTCCCCTGGTTGAAGACGGCCATCCTAAGCAACCGCAAAGAAACATTTAGTTTTAGTTTGTTTTTTTTCCATCCTAAGATGTTTGAAAAAAATTCTATTAAAGGTCACAAACAAAGTGAAATTGTTTTTGTTCGTAAGGGAAAAAATCATTTTTATCTCACAGAAGCTGGAATTGGAGGACAAGGACTTAAACCACCAAACCACAGCTACACACAAACAAAAAAATTATATCTGTATGTTGTTAAGCAACAGTGCTAAGATTCACTACTGAGGGCAGCAGACATTTGTCAAATGAGTATATTTGGAATGAGTACTAATGGCACTATGTAATGTGATAGGTAACAGATGCATAGAAGGTATGTATTCACATGATAATTAGTTAAGTCTGTTGAAGAAATAGACTGAGAGGGGTAAACAGTTATGAATAAGCAGAAACAGAAATCAAATCATAAATAAAAATCAAATGAACAGAAATGTAAAACTTTCAAGGTTCATACTCTTATGTCTGTTCTCATAAAAAAGCTGAAAGGAATAGCAAGCTTTGGAAAAAAATATTTCATTGACAAAACCTTATGTACGAGAAGATTTAAATGAAATGGAAACTACTATTTAAAAAGAGGGAATAAATTATAAAGCAATAGCATACCATAGCAGCAGCCCCTTGTGGCACAATTGTTTTCACAACCACACCCCTTCCTCTTTGTCCGACTAAACCAAATCCTAAGCCCCTGCCTTCATTATTTAACTGTATGTGGATGTGCTCATTTTCATTTTGCATTCCGTGTGGTGATGTGGTTCTGTCTGGTGGTGACTGGTTCCCATTTGGCGGTGTTCTGGGATGGCCATCCTGAGGTAATGGTAATAACAACAAATCAGTTCTATTAAAGTGCATTCCACAAAAAGCCTCAATGCACTCTACAGCAAAGAAACACAAGCAGTAAATAATTCGACTTAAACTACCGAAATGTATAAGCGCTATCGGCATAGGTATCCATAACAGGGCTCCACCCACTGATGTCGAAACAACGTTGCTGTCACACCCGGGTGCACGCAGGCACTCCGTTAGGCAGTATGCTGGGCTCCGGTAGCTTCCACCTCCCAAGTCTATGGCTCTACTACCGTGCATTGCAAAAGACAATGCCATTGTCTCGAGTAAGGAACAGGTGGGGGCCACCCTGGACACCCGACAAACGATAGCACATTCTTCAGCTCTAAAGCATTTTCAAGATGAGGAGACAAGTCATGTGAATTCAGTGTTGTTAAAAAGAAAGTGTATGAAATGAATGAAAGTGGGCCAATTACTGAGCCCTGTGGAACCAAACAACTCATAATGCATGGTGTGGAGACACATCCATTTATGATAACTGATTCAAGACGTGTTAGACAAATATGCTTAGAGCCAGTTTAGTGCATGACCGGTAATACAAAAGCGAAAAGTTAGGCCGGGCACTGACAGCATTGTACGATGACCCCTCCCTCTCCCTGTGAGCCTTAGACGATGCAAAGCCGTCTGCTGTCGGTGGCAGCATGAACGGATCGTCAAAATCTGTTGAGCACGCGTCGTTTCTTTGCGTTCTACACAGAATCGCGTCGGCCAACAACTGTTGGCCACAGTAAGTACCTAAATTTAAACGTTGCATCAATTTTGAATGAGAAATCGTATCAAATGCTGAAGAAAAATCCAACATGAGGAGCAATACTTCTTTGCGTTGGTCAAGCGAACATGCAGGTGGAAAAAGAAAGTCTTGGGTTCAAATATTGATGTGGTTATTTCATTTTGATCATGTACTATAGTGATAGAAGTAAGTGAATTGGTTAATTCATGAAATTTTACTTGAAGGGTATAGTGTCCACAGGAGCATTCCCAAAATGCTACACAATATCTTTGAAAGTAGGCTTTGGCATACTCAGTTGAGTAGATGGTATCACTAATAGCCGAGGTGTGGGTTGATTTAAAGTTTATTGGCTATGCTCTCACACGGCTGCTAACGGTTAGCAGGATCCGGATCCTGCTAACTGAGAAAATCCCGATCCGGATACCAAGAATATGATGATCGAATCACTGGCCAATAAGAAACTGGAAATTGTAAACGCGTACGTGTGATTGGTTGATGATAGAAACGCGCTCACTTGCTAACTGTTAGTGGTATCCGGATACCGCTAACAGTTAACGCTAACCGATCGGGCATTCTCACATAGGTTCTAATGGTTAGCGCTAACGGTTAGCTCCCGATCCGGATACTAGGTCTCTCGTGAGAACCAGGCTGTTATGTTTTAAATTACAGTTATAATACAGGTCTTACAGTGATTAGAATATAATAAATCATATTTGTTATAATCATAATTATATACTGTAAAACCAGGAAATTTCGCGCGCATTAAACTTTTGCGATTGGCCCAGATTCGCGAAAGTTTTATGCCGCGAATAATTTTCAGGTCACATTTTCTATGTTTCAAAAAAGATCGGTAGAATACTATCTGATCATCGTGAATGTCGAATAAGTTTTCAGAAATGAGATTTTGGTCGACGTTATAAATCACTGAAATCACAAATTGCAACATGTTTGTGAAGAGGTAACAATTTCAGCATTTTAAAAATTGTATTTTTAATTATTTTGGTGAATTTTAATAAATGTGTATAAATTTAATAGAATGTATTTCAATTATTGAACCAATATTCTGACCTTAACTTCTGATGTTGAGCTCGAAAAATTCGTAGATTCTAGGCCTATCCTAACCTACTCAGTAAGTATACTGATCAGGGAGGTTCTGATCATCACTGCATGTGATTGCACATGTGCAACCACTCTGCAGTGTATACTAAGAAGTTAAAATAGAAACTAATTTTCGTACAGCATGACATACCACGATGTTCAGTCATCATCAATCAATGTGTAGGAATATAATTTGTTAATAAAACACATATTTTGATAAACATTGTTCATTGTAGGATGCTTGAATTTCATATAAAATTTAGGAATATCGTATGTATGAGTGAGTACTGTATGTGTGTAAACTTTTCTCTTAACTGTGCTGGATGGCCAGCTCAGTCCTGGTCCTCCAGCTGAGGGCTGCAGGCTTAAGGCGCCTAGCCTAGGCCTAGCTACTGTAGCCTATACATTGGCTGTAGGCCTATCTAACCTAGGCCTGGAACTCACAAAATGATATTTTCAGCTATTGTATGGTATTCCTCTCTTGAATAAAATTTAGGCTTTTGCGATTCGCGAAAGTTTAATGTTGTGAAAACGGCCGAAATTACGAGCCGCGAAATTTTCTGGTTTTACAGTATAACATCATCAGCTGTCTCTATGTTTCCTTTACACTGTCTTGTTTTAGACCACCTATGTTTTGCCAGCTAATTCTACAATTCAATGCTCTCTGATAGTTGTTTATGTTTATTAGGTAAGCCTGTTTTCTTCTGTAAATATTCAGTAGTAAAATAAAACTCACCCACTCTCTACGCTGTTCATCAGAGCTAGATTTCCACTGAGATCTTGATAACTGGGAATAGCAAAGAAAAAATATTAATTAATCTTTGATTGATTAACTTGAATAACAGACCCGTTATATATTAAAAACCAGGCAAATTCTTAACTACTGTATAATTGTATTGAATTCTATTGCTGTTGATGTATACATTGAACAATAAAGATTATATAGCTTTCTAAATTTATTGGAATTAAGTTCAAATGTTGTAAAAGAAAAGAAAAATTGAAAAAAAAAACACCCTCACATGATTGACGACATGAATTATTAAAATGTAGAAATATGATGAAAAAGGAAATAAATAATAAAACAGATTTTGAAATGAAATTAGTTAATGAATAAATGAATGAAACCAAGGAATATGAGAATGATAAATAAGTATCAACATTTAATGTGTAGATTTATAAGTCACGATCTTAAAGTAAATGACCAATTACCTGAGGTGATGTTGGCTGATCTTCCTTTTCTTTGTTTACAGGTTTAATACTTCCAATGCCTCCTGCTGCTTGTAATTTATCCTCCTCAATTTCCTGAAATTGTCATTTTATTCAAGTCATAAAAATATTAATATTTAAAAAAAATGGACTATTAAAAATAAAATAATTACGTAGCCAAACTTGAAGTTTAACTATAATGTATAGTATAGTGTTGTATCTTCAGGGTCATTTAAAATCAAAATATTAAAATACACATATAATATAACAAAATATATACATATAATATCTTAACATAACTATATATTATATACATAATTATATAATAATCAATATTAAAATCAATAAAATATAACAATAAAAAATTATATTAATTAAACAATAATGAATAACATAATTAAATATTCAACTTATTACTGATATTGAACATATTCCATGATGTTAGCCATATTATTCATTATTAAAATACACTGTACGGTAGTCATATTTTCATGTTCAATTAGTAAACAAGCAGAGATTTAGAAGAACAAGATTGGCGAAATGCCAACCAATTCCTTGCATGCTTTAATCACATAGATACCTACCATACCTACAGTACTATGCATGAACTATAAATCCAGAATGTGGGCTCAAAAGTTATGACATAAAGCTTGTGAGATATCACTTTCGAAGATACACTGCTTATAACATGTTATGCATGTTTTAATATTGAAAATTATGTGTGATTGTCAATCAGTTAGTGTTAATATGGAACTGCACTAGAAAATTTGAAAACAAAAACTTCAAAAATCAAATTAAAATATTGAATTGCTCAATTACAAAACACCACTGACTTATACAGAATTTTTACTAAAAAAACCCCTTTAAATTGATTGCCAGTCAATTGAGGCATGCCGTGGCGAAATGGTTGAGTTGTCGCACAGGCCAGTATTGAGTAAATGAGCTATAAAATATGGGAGCTAAAAAAAATGCCTAAAAATCCAAATTCGTTTTTCACTATATATCAACAGTTTAATGTCTTATTAATCATATCCCAAAGTATTAGTTCTGGAAGTGGTCAACAAATCGTTTATTTAACGTATTTTGATAGTTCATTCTATTAAACAATGTATCCACAAATAACTTTGAAAGGCAATTACTCAAAACCATGTTTATCATGACTCTAAGAGTGCTGTAGATTCACTTTCCAGTAACTTAGGCTTGAAATTTCCAATTTCAATGATTGACCCCTCATTTTAAAGATCACATACTCAGGTATCTGAAAATACCAATAACATGAATTTCAATTTTTGCTACAACTTAGCCATTTTGTGACAAGATGCCTCAATTTAGAATCTATGCAATGAATAATGGAACAATAAGCAATTAGTAGAATTTCAAATCATACACTAGTGGAAATTATTATTATTACTGTATTGACTTATAATTTTATTTATTACATGTATCTGCTAATTATGGTGCATAATAATTCTAATTTTTAATTGGAAATCTAATACTTTACATACAAATTAAGTAATTCAAACATAGAATGTTATTGTTCTTGAAGTTAATTAGTTCAACAAAGTATGTATTACTTGATGCCGCTTGAGACGTTCTTCATTTTGTTTCTTAATGAGGTCAATTTTGCTGGATAAGAGGTCTTCTTGTTCTTCTTTGCTCAAAATATCCAGCAACGTAAAATTCTTGACCATATCATTCAACTGCTGAGCCAGCTGAAAGGAAAATTGAAAATTTTACTGATCAGATATTAAAATTTATTAATCTATGCAATTCAAATTCACAAAGTTACAGTACTGTAAGAGAAATTCTGAATGCTGCCCTCTAAAGGCCAACTCAAGGCAGCAGCATACAATATAGTCCGACACCAGTTATCGTATATTCTTAAACACAACTGTCCCCGATACAGTCTCATGACCACTCGTCGCGTTACACAGATACCACGATTCATATGATGCTGTCTGAGTTGGCGCCTTAAAGGATTTAAAATTACATTCCTTATAGCATCCAGTCTAATAAAAAAGAAATTACTAACAAAATAGTAAATTATAAAAACAATAAATCAATCATTATATAGTATCATAGTATTATCATAATATAGTTTCAAGTATGTATGAATATGTCAAAGGTCATGATATACTGTATACACACACATTCATACAGTACATCTTGTACTGTCATATCGTATGACGATTACTAAACAGATGACCACATATTATGTTTGGTTTCAGCAAAGGTGGTTGTTAACTGGCTGAGCTAATATGCTCAGGATAATGGCATACATTGATTGAACCATTCAACGGTGACCTTGCTGAGACAGATCAAGTACCCTTAACCATAAAGTTACCAAATGCTTCTCAATCAAGCCAGGAACACCTTTGCCCTATCCAGTTTTGTGCATAAAAACAATAAAAAAATAAAAACAAAAGGAATCATCAATAGTTCAGACCTTTACAAGAATTCACTAATTATATCAGGTGTTGAACCGAAATGACATACCATCAGATAAGATAAAGGTACTGTATATTAATTTTATTGAAACCAATTTTTCAAAATTAAGTTTAAAATAATATTTTGCTATTCAACCACAATTTAATATTCAAATGTATGTGTGCACAATTGGTAATAGCTTACAGTAGCACACATACATAATCATGTCTTTTTTAGCACTGGCATAGATATGGCTACAAATAGCAGACGACAGTTAAAGGCAATGTTTTTTAGCAAAGGATACAAAGGCTGAATGGAAAGGCCAAAAATGGAGGTTATCCAAATAATATTAACAATAATATTAAAGGTTTAGTTCCTAGATGAAAAATGCATTGTTCCTTATTTTCTGTCTTAATTTTCATATTGTTATTGTTGTTACAGTATTCCTTTTGTTTTGTTGTGGCGACAACTTATGCACTAAAATATAAATTAAAAAAGAGTATAAATATTTTCTTTGTAAAAATATTTATGCTGGTGATACAAATTAATCACAGCTATAGATTAGCTAATAACATTCACGATGACATCTGGTTATTATGATTGGCGTTAGAAGTACCGAAACAAAGATATCGTAGGAAGTGACAGTAATTTATTCTAAAACGTGACTTTCTGCATACCATAGCTTTCATTATGATCCAATCATAACGATCTTTGTTATGCTTTCAAAGCACTTGAAACAAAGAGTAGGAGCAGATAGACATCTAAGCATCAAATAACAGGAAAATGGCCTAATTTTGAGTTCTATTGTAATTTGCACACTGTCTTATTAGAGTCAAGTATGTTTAAAATTAATATTTTATGTTCCATTTTCTAGTATCAATCAAAATTTTTCGTCATATATTTATTTCTATGTTAATTTTTGTTAAAACTGTTTTAATAATGAAACACACACAAATTAAAATAAGAAATTAACAAAAAAGTCAATGAATATTACATGAAAACTATAATTTTAAGAAAGGCGAAGGCAACAGAACACAAAAAACTAGGCAAAGAGAGGTAATTAAAAACCAAAATCCAAGCTTTTTTAAAAAATCATATTGTTAATACTGAAGCTCATAGAGTGGTTTTAAGTTGGTTTATAATGTACTGTACGTGCCTTTGCATGGTGTACGAATGGTGGCTTGCCTTGTACACTTTTTTTTTTTATAAGAACACATTTTTTAAGAACAATGAGGCTGAAATTGCTTAAAAATTAAGAACAAAATAAGAACAAATTGAGGCTGAGGTAAAATTTCAAATGAGGTTTATATTTTTAAAAACCAAAATATTATATCTGTTATATCTTCACATTATGTGCAGTAGGTGTGACTGTAATACCCTCTATAATACAGTACAGTAGGAGTACCTATCTGACATTTGGGGGCCATTTTTTGTGGGGTCACTTTCACGTACTGTACATTCCAGTACAATGCATACTGCCGTACAATTAAATAATCCTTTATTTAAAAGGTGTGTAAACTAACAAAATAAAAACACTTTGAGCCTGAAATTGGCCAAAAAATAAGAACACTGAGCCTGGGCAAAATTTTACTGGTTCTTATAAAAAAAAAAGTGTATTGTACAAGTTTACCATTTCTTCTTCATCAAGGTGTCATTTCAATTCAATTTGACTTTACATTATCATCAATGAAATTATAATATGTTATAATAGATGTTTAAATCTTGGCACAAAAATCAAGGTCTCTTTCCTCATGACATATTTTTTTGTGTTTGTTACCTATATTTACCTGATGTCAACTTTTAATTGGAGGTATAATTTCTGTATATCAGTTGATATGGAAATAAAATAAAAAAATAAAAATTAACATCACTTTTCAAGAGTAGAACATCAAGTCTATCATTTAATCTGTTTGACTTATCACCTCATTAAATAAAATATTGTCAAAAAAACCTAATTTCAGCAACAACGATTAATCAGATTGTACAAATACTGATCTGTCCCCTTGTTTGCCTTGTTTAATTTTTAAATCAAGAATGAAACTACTGTACGATCAATTGGTTTGCACTTATAACTTCCCAAATTAAAAAACAGAATGGTTTTAAGATGTTTCCTTACCGGCAATTGCATTGATATTTGATCCGCCATGGTGGAGTCGAACTTGGTTCTTGGAAGACATATGAATCATCAGCTGACCTAGAAATTAAAATGTCATAGGATAACATTAAAAGAACAACATAGCAATTGGCACTGATACACCAATGCCAATGATAATAAATTCATAATTTGATTCAAGCCATTATTTAATGTGAAGAATATGTACAGTGTAAGTGGCAAAAAAAAATCAACAGTAATTACAAATATTTAGATTAAAACATTGAGAGTGAAAAACAATGTTTTCCTGTATTTCAAAGTGCCTACTGTATGAGGAAATATGTGTGATGGCGAACATCTACATTCTCAACATGACAACACCTTGTGATTTGAATACTGTACCCCTATAGTAAAACTATTAATAGGTAAATTAAAATTATTAATATTATTATAATTGTATTTAACTAATTATTTACTATCAGTTGGCTATTGCTATGATTGTGTTTTTATTATTATTATTATTATGATTACTATAGGATTACTATAGGTAAACTAAAATTAATAAATTATTATAATCATATAAACTAATTTTTACTATTAGTATATAGGCTACAGTATTGCTATGATTGTCTTTTTTTTAAATATTATGATCATATAGTAAAATTTAGTAATTAGGTAAAATGAAATTATTAATCAAATATTTAACTAATTATTTACTATCTGTATTATTATTGTTATGACTATCTTATTTCTTATTATGATTACTATAGGACTGATATAATTATTACAGTTAGATATATATTAGATTATTATTATAATTATTATCTTGTTTTGTAGCCTGGCTATTGGTAAATGTATCTCAATGTGAGATTCATCATACCCTCTACTTTTAAATCAATCAAGGTGCTCAATTATTAATCTTTCAAGGGCATCACTGTTGCGGATCAAAAGGTTAAAGGTTAAAATGAATGGAGAAACAGAATTAAGTACTGGTTTATACACAATAATTTAAAGTGTTGATGTTGTATTTCAGAGATTTAAATACAGGAACAAATAAGGTTATGACTTTGAAATAATTTTCATTAACATTAACTTTAACATTTATTATAGCGCACATTTCTACAATATACTTCGTAATCAGCAGCGCTTTACAGGACTAGTTTAATTTTTAAAAATTTTTTATTATTCATTTATTTTTAAAATTTATTATTTTAGATTTTTAATTAATAACCATAACATTGCTGAAAGTAAAATGTCTTTCAGCTTTTTTTAAAATTGTGTGTAATTTTCCAAAAGTCAAATTTCATTGGACAAATTATTATTATTATTATTATTATTATGAAAGTATAACTATTTATATAATTAATGTAAAATCATATAGAAAAGTTTTAAAGAGAGGCATAGAGGTGATATGATACTGTCAGCACTTCCAATAATACTAGAAAATGACATGAAATCCCTAAGCAGCCCCATAAACTTGAAAATAAAAATAACAGCTGATCTTAGAAAAATTAAATCACTGGCACAGATAGAAAGAAAAGAAGAGACCCTGTAAAAAGGATTTTACAGGGCAGCCAAGGCAAAGACGTAAACAATTTACTTCTCAGTGACTAGGCTGTAAAAGACAACTACTAAGTTAATTACGTACATTAACTGCAAGTGGAAGTTAAATTATAAAAACTTTGTATAAAAATACAAAAGTTTAAGTATATATGTTACGGTAACCACTAAAAGTAGAAGTTATATTTAAGAGAAAAATTGTATGTAAATACGTATATGAACATAGTATAAAATTACAACAGGTTTACACAAATTGGTCACCATATGGCGGTTGGGATGGGTCTTTGAGTGCTCGAGTAAGTACTGTTTAGTAGTTTGCTGTGTATTTAATACCAATTCATCTCTAGAAGAGTTTATATGTAATCACAAATTTCTACCATCTATATTACTATCTATATCACTGCATCTCTATGCATTTCTGCATTCCACAATTTGTGTTTGTCCTGTGTATTCTGCAATACCAGAGATACCCATCTATGCTTACAGTATACAAAGCCATAAAACTAGACACCTCTGATTGTTATCCAAAAAATGGAATAATAGCATTTTATTCTGGTAGAATAAAACCTATGAAATTCTCAACATTTCTGAATTTTGAGGACTTGTGTAATACTCTACTGTAATATAATACCAAAATACTCTTTGATAATTACATATTTAACAAAAACAAATATTGATTTGTTTGAGTTTAGAATGTTGTTCTAGAGGAGATCAACTATTCCAATGTTGCGAACCAGAGTATGAGATTCTATTTTCACCAGCAGATTTACAAAGAGGCAAAATGTTGACGAAATCTCGTATTTCTTTAAAATGTGGAACAGTTTTTTAATATTCATTTCGACAGTTGTGGTAGTATAGTAGTAGAGGAGAAAGCATCGTTGAGTATTTTTCGGAATTCAAACAGTGAAAATATTAAAATACAATTTTAGCACTACAGTGCATAAGCGACTCATCAAGTCCTAGCTCTGTACATCTGCCAGATTGCTTGTGTAGGTGGTCTAGGCCTAGGCAGCTAAGAATTAAGAAAGTATTTCTGTTGTATGTAGTAAAAAATATCCACCATTCACAATATTTATTCTTCAAAATAATTGATTATTTAGCAGATGCACACAATCGGAAGTACATTACCTGCTTCTCACCAAATTGCTACTTGTTACATTTTTGTCGTATTCTTTGCCAAAAAAAATGTAGGCCTACGCGCCTAGCTCATCCCACAACCAAAATGGATAGCACAGCACGTAGGCCTAGTCAGACTCAGCAGAGACAGTAGGCCTAGGCACTAGCAGTGGCCCACTAGGCCTAGGTTAGAGCAGCTTAAATTTCGATCATAATGGGACCACAACAGAATGACAAATTCAAAATATACAATTCGGTAGTGTTACCTCAAACGTTTCACGAACCCTATAAGCTTCTCATGAAAACATGTAAAATTTATGAAACAATAACAAGCAGGATATATCTATTTACCGAAAACACCGGTTCAAAAGATGGCTGTTGCAATCGTAGGCCAAGCAGCTGGAAGAAGTCGACTGGCAAAAACAAGGGAGGCGGGGCAAACGTCATAACATTGCTGAAAGTAAAATGTCTTCAGCTTTTTTTAAATTGTGTGTAGTTTTCCAAAAGTCAAATTTCATTGGAAAAATTATTATTATTATTATTACAATGAAAGTATAACTATTTATATAATTAATGTAAAATCATATAGAAAAGTTTTAAAGAGAGGCATAGAGGTGATATGATACTGTCAGCACTTCCAATAATACTAGAAAATGACATGAAATCCCTAAGCAGCCCCATAAACTTGAAAATAAAAATAACAGCTGATCTTAGAAAAATTAAATCACTGGCACAGATAGAAAGAAAAGAAGAGACCTTGTAAAAAGGATTTCCAGGGCAGCCAAGGCAAAGACGTAAACAATTTACTTCTCAGTGACTAGGCTGTAAAAGACAACTACTAAGTTAATTACGTACATTAACTACAAGTGGAAGTTAAATTATAAAAACTTTGTACAAAGATAGTATAAAAATACAAAAGTTTAAGTATATATGTTACGGTAACCACTAAAAGTAGAAGTTATATTTAAGAGAAAAATTGTATGTAAATACGTATATGAACATAGTATAAAATTACAACAGGTTTACACAACTTGGTCACCATATGGCGGTTGGGATGGGTCTCTGAGTGCTCGAGTAAGTACTGTATAGTAGTTTGCTGTGTATTTAATACCAATTCATCTCTAGAAGAGTTTATATGTAATCACAAATTTCTACCATATATATTACTATAATTTATATCACTGCATCTCTATGCATTTCTGCATTCCAAAATTTTTGTTTGTTCTGTGTATTCTGCAATACCAGAGATACCCATCTATGCTTACTGTATACAAAGCCATAAAACTAGAGATCTCTGATTGTTATCCAAACAATGGAATAGCATTTTATTCTGGTAGAATAAAACCTATGAAATTCTCAACATTTATGAATATTGAGGACTTGTGTAATACTCTACTGTAATATAATACCAAAATGCTCTTTGATAATTACCTATTTAACAAAAACAAATATTGATTGAATGTGGTTATCATTTTGCATTCTGGAGGAGTAAATGACTAAAGGGGCTAAATAAATCTGTTTCTAGATGAGTTGAATATCAAAAAAATATTAATATTTTCAAATGCATACTTACGGTATATTGAAAAAAGGTACAATAAATACTTGTCAGAAGTTTATAATTATTTATAATATTTAGGCCGACAATAAACACATTATCTCTGTAAAACAATAAATATTTTGTTTGAGTTTAGAATGTTGTTCTAGAGGAGATCAACTATTCCAATGTTGCGAACCAGAGTATGAGATTCTATTTTCACCAGCGGATTTACAAAGAGGCAAAATGTTGACGAAATCTCGAATTTCTTTAAAATGTGGAACAGTTTTTTAATATTCATTTCGACAGTTGTGGTAGTATAGTAGTAGAGGAGAAAGCATCGTTGAGTATTTTTCGGAATTCAAACAGTGAAAATATTAAAATACAATTTTAGCACTACAGTGCATAAGCGACTCATCAAGTCCTAGCTCTGTACATCTGCCAGATTGCTTGTGTAGGTGGTCTAGGCCTAGGCAGCTAAGAATTAAGAAAGTATTTCTGTTGTATGTAGTAAAAAATATCCACCATTCACAATATTTATTCTTCAAAATAATTGATTATTTAGCAGATGCACACAATCGGAAGTACATTACCTGCTTCTCACCAAATTGCTACTTGTTACATTTTTGTCGTATTCTTTGCCAAAAAAAATGTAGGCCTACGCGCCTAGCTCATCCCACAACCAAAATGGATAGCACAGCACGTAGGCCTAGTCTAGTCAGACTCAGCAGAGACAGTAGGCCTAGGCACTAGCAGTGGCCCACTAGGCCTAGGTTAGAGCAGCTTAAATTTCGATCATAATGGGACCACAACAGAATGACAAATTCAAAATATACAATTCGGTAGTGTTACCTCAAACGTTTCACGAACCCTATAAGCTTCTCATGAAAACATGTAAAATTTATGAAACAATAACAAGCAGGATATATCTATTTACCGAAAACACCGGTTCAAAAGATGGCTGTTGCAATCGTAGGCCAAGCAGCTGGAAGAAGTCGACTGGCAAAAACAAGGGAGGCGGGGCAAACGTTGCCGCACAGAGGCAAAATATATGATTTCAAGTAGCCCAATATTTTCATTGTCCATGTGGATACTGTTTTAATAATAACTGGGGTAAACAGTGAGAGCTATAAATTGGTAAAAAAGAATAATTTAAATCTGACATTTCGTTATGAAGTTACTGTATAGGAGTTTAAACATACTGCTGTTTAAAGAACAATATTTGAGAAATCAGCCTTCAAATTTTACGATTTCGGGCATTTCTCAGGCAAGCAACCGTCAACTTAATCATTAAAATGGTTGTTTAACCATGTTTTAACATTGAAAATTAGGAATAACAACATAGCATGATGTAAAAGTAAGTTTAGCGCAAAAAATTTGATCAAAAAATGTTGACATTCCAGCATGTTTTGGCCGTTATCTCAGAAATATTATTTGCGACGAGCGACTGGTTTGCCTTGTCTTTATCACATATAGGGGAAAATAAAATGGAAAAACATGATAAAGAAAAATGGTAGCTACACAACCAAACATGACATTGTACAGTATGTTTTGTCAAAAGAGGATGATTTTAAGCAGCGAGTTTATAAAGCCAACTTTTACCATGGACCATGACTCCCTCTCGCAATTATGAATGAGCACTGAAATTAGTCATTGAATTTCTAATTGTTAATATTTATTTGAGAAATGAACATTTCAATATAGAAATTATAATATATTTTTGTTGTATCTGGTGTAATGCTCGTCGATAACGACCAAGGGTAAGCAAAACTAATAAGACAACTTCTATCAGATTTGAGAATACTTTAATACTTCAAAAATAGTTGCTTTTACAACATCAATACAAGACAATATGCAAGACATTTGGTATAGGCATAATCAATAGGGCCTATTATCATTTTCATAATTAATAATGAATTCTTGTATTTTTATATAGTACTCATATTCACAAAGACATTCCCCTTAAATTAATCGGGAACATTTTCAGCTGAAAATATAAATAATACTGTAATGATAATAATACATATAAATACATTAAAATAATTACAGTATAAATGTTCATCCTCAATTTCCTTGGGGAGTACTTTTCTAGGATGCGTTAATGGGGGAGGGATGCAAGGTCATTTTGGGGAGCAAGTGCCCCATGTACACCCTTGATATGCCATGCGTTCATGTAATTCCAGGAATAAACACCACAACTTAAACTTTAGTAAGCTAATAAAACTTGCATACGACCGATAAGCATACTCAATTTTATTCAATGCTACAAGTGCCATCAAGGCCCAATATCTGCTATAATTAAATTGCACAAACACAGCAAAATATATAATAAAAGTATTGTCAATTTCTTTAAAATCATCAAACTTGACATGAATACATGTTTACCATAAATGTTCCAAAAAGTACTGTGGCGCAAATAACATTTTTGAGGGCATCAATCAAGAGCGACTTTTTTTTGTAAAATACAATATTGTAATACTAAAGGTATCATGTACTGCACAACAGGACAACTTGCAACCTTGATTAAGTGCGAAGATGTTTTCCAAAATAGAATACCCTATATAAACAACCATGCGTTTATTCGAAGTTGGTACTTAGTGAAAAATTCACCTCTCATGCGGCACTTAATGTGCAACACATAACTGAGAGAGGTGCATAATGTAACATTAACGGTACTTGGCTAAAAATTGCATTAAATATATTTGCATCACAAAAGCAGTAGGAATTGTCTATACTCAGGACCATATTTATAACCAAGAATGCACTACCAGCATTGCGAGTACTGTACATTATTTGTTGCTAAATGAAACTTAAAAAAAAACTGATAATCTCTATAAATTAATGCATATTATCATAATAATTCTAATAACAGTTAAAATCAACATGAATATATAGTTTAATTACTTTTTTCGACATTCTTAAATTTTCTCTAGTAAATATTATGGGTAGAAATATTACATAAAATTTGAAATTCAGGTTTAAAAAAAATCTAGGACATCAGAAGTTGCTATTTGCATAAAGTTGTACTTTGTGTGTTTTAAGTGCGAGACGAATAATCTGGGATAATATGCTAATTATCTGACATAACTTGCAATGTCCTTGCGCTGAATTACGTATGGGTATGTTCCGTGACATTTAGCAGTCTTAGAGAGGCACCTAGTAGCTACACGTCCACATCATTCCACGACAGGGCTCTTACAGCCATGTTGTATTCAATATTACTTTACAGAATAAATGGAATTACAGCTTTTCTTGACTTGGGATAATCATCAAACTTTTTACGATAATACCTGAAAAACATTAAAAATATTAAGAGTTGATTTAAGTTTTTTGGATAGTCATTGTTTCAATTTTTCAGTTATTAAACTCATTAATTTCTCAATTGATTAATTAATTTATTTATTTATTCATCCATTTGTTTGTTTATTCATGCATGCCTTCATTTATTTATTTTTGAAATATTGTTTAAATACAGGTCTTCCTCTATTTAAATACCACTTTTCTGCAGTCCCAGTATAAAAACTGTTTTTATGATAGAAATGGTTAAGGACAAAAGGAATGGTTATAGTTTCCGAACCTTGAGGTCGGAGTTTCAATCCCTCGCTGTGCATTTTACTTGTGTCCTTGAGCAAGGCACATTATCTGCATTGCTTCTATCCACCAAGAAGTACAAGTGGGTGGTACAAATACCGTATGGGATACATCCCCGGGTAGCTGTGTTCCATATGTGTATAATTCAATGACCGGTGTAATGATAATGTGCGGTGCACAGAAATTTTTTCATAGTGCGCTGTATAAGTCATCATTCTTATCATTATTATTAGTACTGTATTACCGTAATTTTTACTGTTATTAAGGGCCATGGAACCCTGGTCTCAAGCAGTCTTTAATTGTATGGTGGCCTGTACTGAGAAACAAAAAATAAAAACCAAAGCACTTACTGATGGTGGTGGCATGCCCTTGGTCCAATGTTGCACAAAGTAAAGAGAAAGAAAGAAAATGCAGTAAATGACCATACAGCTATTGCAAACCCCAACCATTCCACGATCTCTCCAAAAAAGTTTGCACCCGATATATAATTAAACATACCACCTGGAAGAAGAAATAATATTTTCATTTATTTAATCTAATATTGTCTAGGAGTGTACGTGTATAGAGTAAAATTACTGGGAATAAAAGATATGCTTCATGCAGTCTTTCTTTTTTTCTTTTTTTTTTCTCAATCACAACATTTTTACATTAAAGGATCCATGCAAATAATTTATTTTATTTCAACTACATCCAACAGCGGTATCACCCATTACAGGATGTCTTTATTTTATATATTTTTTCTTTTATTTCACCAAAATCCAACGTTGCCCATAAGAGGATATGATATAGAAGTTTACATTATAACATCAAAACCTAAATATAAGAGAAAAAACAATAGAACTCCAATGAACAACACATTACACAATAGTAAATTACACATACAATATACAAATATAGTAATAATAATACAATAACATACAATAAGTAACAGAGGTAACCAAAAAAATCTCTGAATGAATGGTATTTATTATGAACTTGATAATTTGTGAGCAAAATATATAATATATCTTTGTTGTAATTTTACAGTTTTTACAGTAAACAAGTTAATTTTATTGCTTGCACATATTTATATATGACTCACCTTTTGGTATTTTGTAGCCAGTCTCGCCAGGTTTCCGCAAATTTCTAAGAATGTAATCCGAGTGTAAATTGATGAACATTCCAATAAAGAACAGACAAACACCTTAAAAAAAAAACACAGGGAGTATTATGCAATAGAATTAAAAGAATAGCACTTTTCAGATAAATGTAAAAGTATATTTATTGCTGTATTTAAAAATCTAAATTTACTTTTTTGACTTGTCAATCTATCTATCTATAATGCTCTGTCGACCCTATCAAATAATGTGATATGCCCATATTTGGGTGTTATGTGACATCATCATGCCCATATATGGTTATGGGTACATCACACAAAGTTTTTACATCGTAAGATGGGTTAGTGTGGAACCCAAAACACACATAACTAACACGTTATATTTTCATTGCAGATTTTTTGGGCTCAGTACGGACTCTAAACGTATGGAATTTCTTTTAGTTTTAAGGCGTATGCGGATTTTGACGATATAATGTGTTAACTACTTCTCTTTTTTTAAAAGAACTGTTGTAGTTGAGAAAGTCTCGACGTTTCGATTGAGATGCTTCAATCGTCTTCAGGAGAATAATATCTGCAGACATGCCAATCAGGGAAAAACAGATCTGAACCTTCAACAGATTTACGATTTACTTTTACAGTGTTTAGTCTGCACTAATTTCAAATGACGGGACCAGTTTTTCGAACAGAGGGCACGGCCATGGGATCGCCTTTATCCCCAGTCATTGCCAACATCTTCCTCGAAGAGTTTGAACGACTAGCGCTTCTTTCAGCCACCAAACAGCCAAAACTCTGGCTCTGATACGTCGATGATACTTTCATCATTTGGCAACACAGTAAGGTGTACCTAGATGGTTTTCTAGATCACCTGAATTCTCAGCACAAATTGATCATGTTTACCATGGAGGAGGAACACAATTGCTCTTTACCCTTTCTTGATGTTTTGGTAACCAGACAGGACGCAGGGTCACATGCAGTCTATCGCAAACCAACACACACCGACAGATATCTAAACAAACGCTCGTTTCACAATCCCTCCACCAAGAAGGGAGTTTGTAACACACTCATCAGAAGAGCGCATTGTATCAGCGACCACAACTACATCCTGAAAGAAGTGCAATATGTTAAGGCAGCCCTTAAACTTAATGGTTATCACACGAGAGACATTGCTACACCCAGACCCAGCAATAGGCTAGATAATGCAGAATCGAGAAAGTCTGTGTGTTTACCATATTTGGGACAGCTTTCACACCGCATTCAACGCATTCTAAGCCGATGTCAAAGTGTCTCATAGCGCACCCAACAAACTATCCCGAACTCTACAAACACACAACGACAAACCACCAGCACAGAGTCAACCAGGATTTTATCGGATCCTGTGCAAATGTGGGAAGGTTTACACGGGTGAAACAGGACGAGATCTCCGCACTAGGCTCAAGGAATACCAAGGCCATGCCAGGAGAGGGGAACAAGAAAAATCTTCTATAGTCATGCATTCCCACAGTCAACAACACCGTGTACATTGGGACAAAGCCGAACTAATAGCCACCGTACCATCTTGGCACTCCAGAAGGACTAGAGAAGCCATGGAAATTCACAAACACAATACTGTACATCAAGACATCGGAATTGTCATTAGCGATACTTGGCTGTCCATGTTTAATTGGACCTAGCGAAGCCCCACCATTTCCTGCCTTCTGGAACTATGCCTTTGTTTTCGGTCATTCCCACCCACTTTCCCGCCCTGGAACCATGCCTTTGTTTGGGCGTTCCCACCCTTTTGTTTTGTTTTTGTGAACAATGGCTTTTGTTTTAGCCTTTCACTAGCAGTCTTCTCATTGGTCAGTTAATCCATCCAATCACCATCCAGCTTGTGTTTTAGCCTTTCACCCATTGGTCAGTTTATCACCATCTAGCCTCTCTACCCAAACATAAAGTATTTCCCTGTTTGGAGTGTCTGCAGATATTATTCTCCTGAATACAGGGACGTAGCCAGGATTTTGAAAGGGGGGAGCCGTTATGCGAGATACGTATGACCCCGGCCGGGTCCAGGGGTCATATGTCAGGATGCGAGGGTGAAGTAGCGCACTCTGAACGTTTTAAGGACTGTTTTGAGAGGATAAAGTGACAATTGTATTAGACACATCATGAATAATGTTAGTATGCCCAGCAATAATTATAATAAATCAACAGAATCCATGAATGCGAAAGAGAGGTGTCCCAGGGAGGGATTTTCACAGACTGAGGAACCACCCCAGGTAAGAAAATTTACGATTAGGGCACCTCTAGATGGCCGGAAATTACACTTTCATACTTAAATTTGAATATATTTTCCTTTTGTTTTTTTACTCAAAAAAATAATAATCTAAAATAGTCATAATCCCGAAAAAAGGGGTTTGAAAAATCAGATCACATTCTAAAAACATATTTATGCCCCCTCTTCTCAGCAGTCACAAGACATACTCTGAGTCAGTTGCCGACTCGATGCAGTTTAATGTCATACCCAGAAGGGCGCAGATCTGTTTTGTAAGGTTGAGGGGGAGGACATTTTGTGAGTCAGGAACCTTCCTCAGACTCACCATGGTTGGAGCTGTGGAGCGAAAATGTGATGAAATAGTACCTCTAGCTAGATGGCCAGAAACAACACTTTTAGTAAAATTCATTATCATCACAGTTACCGGTAGTCCAAATGAAGCACAAAAAAAATCTCATGGTCTTTTTTATCAGGGATTTTCTGCAACCAAAAAGGTCTTATTAATGTGTGTGATATACCATACAAAACAAAGCTTAAAAACACTGTCTTTGACTATGTTCTTTACATTTCACAACCACCTCAGCCCCACCATGGTTGGGGCTGAGGTGAGAAAATTTGAGGAAATAGTACCTCTAGAAATCACACTTTCACGTAGTAAAATTCATCATCACATCACCATTACATAGTCAAAATGGAACGCCAACAAATTTCTCATGTACTTTATCAGGGATCTACTTGATATCCAGGACAACTTGACCTAACTATAATTTACTATATAAGCTTTAATTATAATATTATCATCAACAAATGACAACTTTATTTTTCGCCTTTAGCACAATTTCCTAGGTAAGGGTAAAAAACAAACTGAGCCATACAGTATCACATTTCTGTATCTTAAAAGACTTGGCATGGGATTTATGGATTTTTAAAAATCATGCTTAGACATGTGTTATAATTATAGTAGCCCAGGCCTATGTAAAACAAGTACTGATGCATTTTTACGTATTTTAGAAATATTCATTTTGAGTGGTCCCAGAAAATAATTTGTATTGGCTCAAAAAAAGCTTTAAAAATTTTACACTGCGGCTCCCACGGCTACCCCCCTGGTTATGTCCCTGCCTGAAGGCGATTGAAGCATCTCAATCGAAACGTTGAGACTTTCTCAACTACAACAGTTCTTTTCAGAACTACTTACGTGGTGTACCGCAAGCTTCAATATATATATTATTTCTTCGTCATGCAAACCTTTAAGCAATACTTTCCTTCTCTTTTGTGATTAACTATTTAAGATAAAACTATTTTACTCACCAAATAAAAACCTATAATCGGATATCCAATTGCTGGGGTACTCAGCATATTGTGTAAGGTAACGTCCCTGCATATATCCATTACAGATGCAAAAAGATATGGCAATAACAAAGATTGACCTTGGTGTGTCCTTTCCGCCACGGATCAAACACGGGAAGATTAGCGTTCTAGAGGGTGGATATAAATAGAAAAATGAATATTATTATTTTTTAATAATATTTTTACTATCAGAAAAATAAAAGTTTTACAGTATATTAAACTTATCAAATCGTCATGTTTGTCACACAACAAATTACATTGACATTATGAGTTTAACATGTACTCAACAAAATATGCAGTGTTCTCCCCAGGCCCTTCAAGCATCATGGTACCATGACACTTGGGACTTTCCCCATGATGCTTGACAGTTGGACATGATGCTTGGAACATCTTCCATGATGCTTTTATCAGGGAACAGTTAATTTTTAACTGTTCCCGGCTTTTATATAGACTTAAATTGCAATTTAGGACATTTCAATACCTCTTAATTATTAAAAATTTCTTGTGTCAGTCCCAACGATGGTGGACTTAACACTTACCATGACGCTTGCCCATGATGCTAGGGAGAACACCGAAATATGTAAAGGCTACATCAAACCCAGTGTGACATCAAAGGAACATGCACATAATATTTATGCTCAGGCATGCAATATGCACTCAGAATGTACACATTAATTAAACAAAAATGGAAATGTTAAATGACAATAAAAATAGTTATTTAGATAACACTGGAAATGATGAGAGTAATAATAGCAAATTAACAATAAAAATAACAATATGTTTTAGACCACCAATCAACATGGTTTTGAGGCAAAATGGAACTAAACCAAAAGAGCAATTTACAATTGACCAGTGGCTGACTGTCGAGGCAAGCAAGGTATGCAGTGCATACCCTGGGTAAAACAAATTTTAAAAATAGTACAGTTTCTCCATTTTATTTAATATTTCTCAGCCACATCTTCTACATAAACCTTAATTTTTCGAATGGATTGCTACAGTTCATTCAAATAGCAAAGTTTTTCAATGTTTGGCCTGCTTTGGTATCTAGGATAAGTCACAGTCGGGCCTATCACATCATACTCTCAGCTGCTTAGAATTTCCACACCATGGCTGGTTTATATAAAGACTATAACTATGACATTTGAAACATGTCAAAGGTCAAAAGCAGCATTTCCGGTCATTTTCTAGCAAACTTTTCTATTAGAATAAATAGAAACATTAATATTCCGAACACATTGACACCACAATTAACCACACCAAATGTGTCAAAGGTTAGAAACAGCATTTCCGGTTATTTTCTAGCAAAATGTTCCATTTAGAGCAAATAGAAACATGAATGTTCTGAACAAATAGGCACCAAAATTAACTCTCTACCACCAGTGGTTGCGGAGATATGACGACCCTATAGCTATGACCTTTGACCCTGACCTTTTGT